CTGTAGCTTATTCTCCTAGTCTGGAAAATGGAGTTAAAAGTTTACTGGCACAACTCTGTCCTCTCCTTATAATTAAAATATTTAAGTGCATGTAAAATGTGCATCGCACATGATTTTCGGTAAGTTGCCTCCTTGATTTTGCTAAGTTCAGACCTCTGTCCTTGCCAGCGCTCTGCCCCGGGGTCTCTTCTGGGAGCCGCTCTCCTTTAGCACCAGCCCCAGAGCCTCTGGCCCTGAACAGAAAACTCCCCAGAGCAGAAAGGGGTAAAGCTTGATCTCTCAGGCCTCACTCATCATGGTTTTCCATCTTGCTTTTCCTTGCTTGGCCCCCTCCCACCTGACTCACGTTGTCTACTTGTTCATTCGTTTGTTGAAGAAACATTTACTTAAGTATCTACCAGTCAGTGGAGAACCACTCAAGTTTAGAGAAAACGTATTCACAAATACGATGCAGGCAGCAGATAGAGGTCATAAACTAGATGTCTATGGGCCATGCTTAGCCTACAGATGTTTTATTTATCACAGTATTTAAGGTTTTAAAAAAAATACAGTTGACAGTATTTGAAAATTGGGCATAAAACCCATAAAACCCAGATGTTGGAATTGGGGATCCTGGCCTGCATCTCTGCATCATCACCTTGGCCAGGCATGGGGCGGAGGCTAAAGACATAGAAACCTCTATCCTTGAAGGTCTTTCTTGCTGAGGTGTCGAATTTCTGATAGCTACTTGGAGCCCTAAGGAGATTTTAGTGTGTTGAAGGAGGCTTGAGGAGTCCTTTGGAGGGACCAGTCCAGAGGTAGGGAGGACTCTAAGAGCTGTTGCAGTAGGTCAGGCAGGAGCTGAACAAAGGCACTGCACCAGGGCCCAGAGGCGCAGACTAACTGGGGATCTGTGGAGGAGTGGAAGCTAGTGCTGACTGAGGCAGGCGTGGTGTCCAGAGGAGGGAGGCGTCTCCTGTTGGCTCCTGGAGTGCCAGCGGGGCTGCCCTTGTAGGTGGGTGGGGCTTTGCTAGTCTGTGACTTGCTTGAAGGTCTGTGCAGTTCATTTGCATTTGTGCGTTTTTCTGGGTTGAACGGCCAACATCAGGGTCCCTGGTTGTAAGCAACAGAATCCAAATGTGACTCCTTTAGGCAGAATAGGTCAGAAGGCTGGGAAGTCTGGAGAATCAGATTTAGGCTACCTGCCAGGAGCAGATCCTAGAACTGGTCTGGTGAGAGCATTTCTGCGGCTGCCCCAAGATGCTACTGCTGCTGCCAGTGGGTCCTGCGTGTTCCACCTGCCCTACTGCAAGAGAGGATGCTCTGAGTTGTCTCTGGCTTCGTCTGGAGGAGCCGTGGAGACGTGTTGCACTTATGTCCCATGTCCCTGCTGTAGCAGGAAGGCAAATGGGAGTGGGGATCTTATGTAGGAAGAGCTGGGCTCTGCTTCCCACTAAGACTCCAGAGTGGGGATGGGGATTCTCCAAACACAGGAAAGGGCTTCAGAGGCTAGGAAACCAATAAAATAACTGTCAATTACAGGGTTTATAATTTTCAAACATACCCATGGGATGAGGGACCCCAAAGAGTGAGCATCTCTTCCCTGTTTAGAGAGAGTATTGGGAGCAGAGCAGGTGATGTTCCAAGGTGGAACCAGGAGGGGATATTGGGAAAAGAGGGGTTATCTGGCCTGACTGCAGATTGAAGAGAAGTGGGGAATCCTTTAGAGGTAGGAAGCCACGTTGAAATTCTCAGCGCATTTTCAGTTTTGGCCTTCATTTTCTTGGGAAAGGGTTTGCCAACAAACATTTTGACCTAGAAAATGACCCAATGAGAATATGGCTTTCAGAAATTAATTTGATGAGACAGAGAAGTTCAGTGGCTACTGCTGTAGCCTGTGAGGTTCTGCACTGGGACCCTTGGCCTCACAACCAAGGGACAAGGGCTGTGATGGGACTTGGTAACTCACTGAGAGCTACCAAGGGGAGGGGTAGCTGGGAGGGGGCTCCACGTTTTTCATTCTGGGTGACGGGGAGAAGGTGACACCGTGAGGGGACAGGTGGGATCAATAGTGGGGGTGGGAGGATAATGGGGTGCAGGGTCTGGAAGACGCCCTGGAGGTGAGTTCCAAAGGATGGATTCAAGGAACATACAATCAGTTCGAGAGCAGTAGAGCCCAGAGATGAGCTAACCTCGTGCCCCTGTTTTATTTTATTTGAAAATAATATGAAATATATTCACTTATGTTTAGTAGAGAAGGTAGTAGAAGTACAAAGAAGAAAAGCAAAAATGGGCCATAATCTTTTCCCCAAATAACCCCACTTGACTTTCTGGAAAAACTAAATTGAAGTAATGCATGTGCACGATGTGTGAAAGTGCCAACGGAAATCTAGAAGTGGTCTTTCCAGACCTCCCAGCCCCCAGTGTCCCCTGCCAGAGGTGAGCACAATAAGGAAAGCATTCCTTTATATTTATCATGATCTTTCCCAGATACAGCAGATAAAAATACTTCTCTCTAACAGCCACACACACCTAGCATCTCAGTGGCACTTAACCTAGAGCCTGAACACTTGCAGCGGCTGCCCCTCCTCTGCCCCTTCCGTCTCGCCTCCTTCACGCTTGCTCCCAGGAGAGACGGGCCTTCCTTCTCAGGGCTGGCTGTCTCCACCGCCCCCTGCCTGTCCTGCCTCTCTCCCAGCCCGCTTCTTTTGGACATCAGGGCCCCTGAGTGTCATCGCCTCCTGAAGGTCCTCGGGGACCCCAGAGTGGTCAAGGCGCCTCTTCCCTCCCTAGGCAAGCAACTCAGCAAGGGAATTGGGACACCGGCAGGGCCATGTCTCTCGGTCACACTGTATCCCGAGTGCCCAGAGGGTACCCGTGTGTGACAGGAACTCAGGAAACCATTCAGCCACTCTGATGCATTCTGCAACTTTGGGGAAGCAAACGTGCTCCATGATTGTGTTCTGGTCCATTGTAACTGTCAGCTGTATGAATTGGGAGACTGCTGTGGTCAGTGTTAGGAAAGAAAAATAATTTTGACACATTGGAAATGGCAAGGATGATTCTATTCAAGACCATTACAAGTGGGAGATGGAGCTCCACTCCCACTGCAACCGGGGCAGGTGAGGGAGTGGGTGGAAATCACTGATGGAGCTTGATCAGAGCCAAGGGTGGAGGAAGAGGGGCTTGACTGATACCAAGAGCGGGTGGGCGCTTGACACCTGGCTCTGCAGCGTTCTTGGCTAAATCTGGCCAAGGACCAGCCAGGTGGAGAAGACTCGAAGTTCGGTCAGGGAGGAAGTCTGTGTCCCCATCAGTCAAAGGAGCTGGGTGATGATTTTGCCCTTGAGTATCTAATGAAGATAGGAGAGACCCTGGAGAAGCGCAGATGACACGTGAAAAAGCTCTGTGCAGGCAAGAGCTGCCAGAGAGCATCAGTTCGAGGCGTCTCCCAGGTGAACTTGCATTGTTCTTACGTTGTTTTAAAGCAGGAATGGTGAACTGTTTACTCCACCCTTCCTCCCAGGAGAATCCCAAAGACTGATTATGTTTCAAGAAAGACCTGTCAAGTGTTTTAGTTCCTTGGCAGTTTTCCGTTTCCTGGTTCCAGGGCTGACCCTGCCCGCCTCAGTGCCGTGACTCTCTCAGTCCCCTGGGGCACTCTCCGAGCCAGTTTTGCCTCCCCGGGTATTGAGTCAGCCAGAGTGACCACATGTCTCCATGACGACGATGTCACTTCTGGATTTTGCCTTTTGTCCTAGATTATTAATAGTACCTCTTTTCACTCTCACAAGTGTCCTATTTTGGTCGATTAGTTCTTTGGTCCCCCATGACAGACGCTGACCCTGGACCCAGTACTGCTGTGTCCCAGTAGATCCCCACAGTGACTTTTTCGCAGGCAGCTGGTTGTCAGGAAGATGCTTGAAGGAATCCAAGCACGTGAAGGACGTTACTACCTGCTGCTTTCAGCTTTCTTAGTGGAAGTGGAAAAAAACAACAGAGAGTGTGAAGCAGATGGGGCTGAGAGGTGTGTGTGGCAGTGGTGCTGATGAGGGTGTCGCCAGGGCACCAGGGGTTGCACTGAAGTGTCCCCAAGGCCACTGTGCTGTATGCACTTGGAAATCATATACGTGGTGTAGCTTCCAAAGCAGTGTCCATATTTGGATTTCAGAGGTTCCATACAGAGTATTGGCAGGACAGGAATTGGCTTCGTGTTTTGCAAAGTGGGGGTGCTTTAAGGTGAGAATTACAGTCACCCGTTTCCGTCTCAGGTCTACTGAATCATTCTGTGTGGAGCCTGGGGCTGGGGGCTTCCCAGAAACCTGAAGTTTTAATAGATTCCTCTGGTTCTGGTGGATAGGCGGGCTTGAGAACCACTGCCTTAGAAGTAGACGTTTTGCAGCAAATGTGTGTTCTTATTAACGTGCCCGTTTAGACAGTTCTTTCATTCATTTAGCAACTCTTTATTGAATGGTAATCACGGGCCAAGCCCTGGGCCGGGAGCTGGGTGTGCAGCCCAGCAGAGGGGACAGGCCTCCACCTAGTAACGTCCATGACAGCATCACTGCAAGGGGAAGACGGTGGGCGCTGAAGCAGGGCTCAGGACAGGCCTCCCCAGGGCATGGGTCGGAGCTGGGGCCTGAAGGATAGGGAGAGCGGGAGTAGAGCTGCTGCCTGGCTGCGGAACAGCATGTGCGAAGCCTCAGACTGCAGAGGGTGGGTTTGCTGGAGCTGAGAGAGGAGTGGGAGAGGGGGAAGTGGGGGGCGGGCAGGCAGGACGGGTGGAGGGGATGCTGGCAGCGCTTGGTGTGGGGCTGGACTCAGAAAGCCGGCGAGCACTGGCGAGCCCTGGAGACAAGGATGCTTGTCGTCCATGCTGTCCACCTGGGAAGGTGCTGGGAGGTGGGTGTGGTGGGCACAGGCCTGGGCTGCGCTCCCACCTCCTGGAGGGCCCCGCCTCGTGCCAGATGCCGTCAGCTGCAGGCCTGTAACACTCGCGTCTGGTCTGTGTCTCCCCCTAGATCCTGCCTGGCCTGTATATCGGCAGCTTCAAAGGTGAGTTCTCCTTTTTTATTATTGTGGTAAAATATGTAAACTGTTAAATAGGCCATTTTAACCTCTTTTGAAGCGTGCAGGTCAGTGGCATTAAGTCCATTCACACCGTCGTGCAGCCGTCACCACCATCCGTCCACAGAACTCCCATTTTCCCAACTGAATCTGTCTCCATTGGACACTAACTCCCCACCCCCCACCCCAGCCCCTGGAAACCACACCCCTCCTTTCTGTCTATGAATCTGATGGCTCTGGGGACCTCGTGTGAGTGGAGTCATGCCGTATTAGTCCTTTTGTGACTGACTTATTTCACTGGGCATAACACGGTTGATTCACTTCTGTAGCCTGCGTCAGAATTTCCTTCCTGTTTAGGCTGAACAACGTTCCAGTGTGTGGATGGACCACACTGTGTTTGTCCATCACCTGTGGACGGACACTTGGACGCCCCTGCTAGTGGTGAGTTCACTGTTTTAAAGATTACCTTTAGGCTCTCACGCATGATGGAGTCCAGGTGTAGACGTCAGATCATCCAGAGTCTGCTCTGGACGTGACCACCACTGTGCTCTGGTCCTTGTACCCCGACACCTTGGCCAATGGCTGGCAGAGTGGCGTGGAGCCCTGCAGATTCCACCTTGACCTCTGACTTTTTTAACTCTGCACGCTTGCTGGAGCTCTGTTATCAAAAGAGGATGGCTAAAAGGCACATTTAGCAGCCATGTAACTTGTTTGTCATCTTTATCACTTTTATTTTCTAGTTATTAATAAATTTTCAGAAACCCATTTTTTAAATTACCTGGGGAAAACAAGTGGCAGTTTCATCTCTAGCAGATTATTCTTATCCTGTGTTGACTTTTCTGCTTACACATGTCTCTGCAGCTTGTTGAATATTTGTTGATATGCTGTCTGCTACTGACCTTTTATTTTTAGCTCGTTTGTCTCAAAATGCTCTGTAGATGCACAGGTGAGTAGCAACCCACGGAGCAAAGTGCATGCGGAGGGGAGGGGCTGGTCCCCACCTTGTGAGGCGTTTGAGTGTGTGTGATGGAGAGCCCGGTCTCCCTCACGCTGGGGATGGACTGTGCGTCATCCATGGACTTGGCCCAGGACGTGTGCAGAAACAAGCCTCCTGTTTTGGTGGCGAGGGCCCTCCTCACCACGCCTCGCTCCCCAGACAAACAAGAACACACTCCTGTCTGTTTTCTGGTTGCTTAAATCTGTGAGCTCAGGTTCACATCGATTGTTAAAACAGTCTCAATGACTTCTCTGCATGATGTTCATTTCTTTTTCCCCCTGGGCTCCGAGGGCAGCTAACCGGCCTCAAAGAGAATTCAGCACAGTGAGCTGACAGCTGCTAATTGCTGCTAGAACATGTTAAAAATAGTCCTGGAGTTCCTAAATTAGTAAGCTCTGTAGTTCTGAAAAAGCAGCAGTGCTTTGTGGCAGGTAGGGGAGTGGTGCTAGAATGCATGAACATCTTTATGGTTATTTAGTGAATTATTATTAACGCTTTCATGGGGAGAGGGGAATGTCTTTGTTTTTGAAAACAACAGAATTTAAGATAAATTCTTGGAAGTAGAATTGCTGGGTGAATATTTTTACAAATCAGAAATTGTAATAAATACCAACCAAATTCAATACTCCTGCCAACAGTTTCCATCACGCTCACAGATGGTGCCAGGCTGCTGCTTGCCAGACCTCGGTTTGAGCAGCAAAGGACTAAGTTCTCCAAAGATTTCGTGCTCGGGGAGAGCTTGTGCACGTGCATGTGGGCTAGCTGATGACCCCACGGCCGACCTTCCAGCTGCATTCACACCGTTACCACGGTGCCCATGGCTCTAGACAGCCATCCACCAATAACATGTAGTCCTGAAGAATAAATGTCATCATTCCAATAGTGTTGGCTGAGCACTCATGCACGTAAATGGGTGGACAGAGCCTGTGCTTATGGGAAAGAGTAATCCGAAGGTGGCGTATGCATGCGGACGGATGGCGCTGCAAGAGAGTAGAAAGGAGCGCAGAGCAGAAGGGGCACGAGCGTCCCCAGGAGTCACTTCTGTTTTCTCTGGGGCCCAACAGTCAGTTTTCTCATCTGTGGTATCAAGGGTGGTTGTATTCGAAAACAATTTTATCCCCAAACCACCTTTTTTGTTGTTGTTTATCTTAACCTGTGTTACAAAAGCATATTTATGGGGTGATGAAAATACTCTGAAGTTAGATTGTGGTGATGGTTAAGCAATTCTGAATATACTAAAACCCATTGCATTGTACGCTTTAAAAGGTGAATTTTATGGTATGTGAATTATCTCAGTAACACTGTTTTTTAAAAAAGGAAAACACGTATATTTAAACAGTCTTTAAAATTCAAGTCCTGGGTGGAGTCAGAATCTGGAAGAGCCTGGCCTGGAGTGCCTTGCGGGGAGACCCCGCCCAGCTGCTCCGAACGCCTCGCTGCCCCGCCTTGTCTGGGCGCCAGCAGCTCCAGCTTGACCTTGTTTCACCGCTTGTCTAAAATGCACGTACTGGTGGGGACTGGAAAACCACACCTCGGTGAACACGTGGGGTCTGCCTGCCTGTGGGACCCTAAATAATTTGAGTTCCCGCCGAATTCAAAACTCACTGAAGCCCCGGCTTGGCGTAGCTGGCGGGGGGTCTGCCGGGCCGGGTCCTCTGTGATGGACGTGGAGGCGCTTGGGGTTGCTGCGGCAGTTAAGAGAGTTTTAAAGTAAAACCGACGTTTTAAAATTACTTTTAAAGATCATTCTCTTGACTCTAAAAATGTTACATGCTAATTGCAAAATGTTTAGAATGGTGTTTCTTAGTTTCTGCTTCATCACCAAGGCTTATTAGAAATGCAGGTTCCCAGCCCTGCCATAGACCTTGAACCAAGGTGGAGCCCAGGAGTCTGCCTTTCTAAAAAAAACCCAGGTAGTTCATAGGCATGTTAAACTTCTACAACCACCTGTGTTGAATACACACAAAAAAACTATAAAGAAAAACAAATTAAAACACTTGTAATTCCACCTCGTCAAGATTATCACCGTTTGGGCTAATTTCTTAGAGCAGTTTTCCCCCACTGTATGTGTTTGTCTTTATGTGTTTTAACAAATTGAGTTTATATTGTATTTGTAGTTTGGTACCTGCTCCCCCTCTCCCCCGCTAATACCGTATCCTGAGCATTTTCCCATGTCATTAATATTCTCCAGAAACATCATAATTAAACATTTGATTTTCAGTCCATTTTACCCTCTATCATTTTCAAAGGCTTGCCCCAGGCCAGAACAGGGGCAGAGGGGAAGCGGACCTCCTTGATTCTTGCTGGGCCCTGTTTTGTAGATTAGCAGAAGTTCCAACTTGAGGGGATTTATTCCAACTTTCTTCTACACGTATGATCACTGGAAGGGAATGTAATTTTGGTGTCTCCTTAGTGTCATATGCAGATAATTTAATAGCCAACTTATAACTTATGGACTATTTTGTTTGGAATTTCCAGAAAATGTTCCATTTTTAGTTTTGCCATAAAGTGAATGTAGATGTTATAAACCACAGTCTTATCTGCATCTGGAGCCATTCCCTGGTGTTTGACATTAGGGTTGATAAGTCTGGCAGATTCCTATATCTTATATAGTAAGTTGCTTTTTTGTATTTAATTTTAACTTAGATTACTAATCATTAAGAGGTAGTTAAAAAATATTTGAAACATCTTTCCTATTACATGTTTCACGTAAAATACTAACCTAAGGGTCTACAACTTAACAAGTGTCAACTACAAAGTGACTCCCTCTAAACAGTAACACTCATGATTATAAAGTTTATTAATCTAAATATATTTCAAGTTTTATATGACTACTTTTTAACAGAAGATGTGCCAATCAGAAATAAACTTAGTTATCTGCAGAATACCTAAAAGCAATAATCCTAGATTCCCTAAGTCTAGATTATTCTGGTCTAGTCAGTTATGAATTTTTAAGAGAGAAACATGCAAGTCATTTTGTGTTCTTTTGCCGGCTAAACTTAAGGAGTACTTCACTTGCAGAAAACATTAAAATGTCCTCCTCTTTCTTCTGTGACAGATGCCAGAGATGCAGAGCAGTTGAGCAAGAACCAGGTGACACACATTCTGTCTGTGCACGACAGCGCCAGGCCAGCACTGGAGGTGAGAGAACTGAGGTGCACGCGTGTCTGCACTGTGCTCCTGGGTCCAGGGGGCACTGACGAAGCAGCCATGTTCTCTGCAGCACCGCTGTGCCCCTGTGTCACCGGCCGTGTTAATCTTGCACTCAGGCCACGTCTGTGCCTGGTCCGTGACGTGGCGGGAGGACGCCTTCTCTTCCTGATCGTCCTTCTGTTACGCTGCTAGCTACTTGGCTCTCTTGGCTGAATGCCAGAGGACAAGCTGATGCTGCGTTTCCCTTTGGACCTTAAGGACATTTAAAACCTGTTTTAGTTCCTTTCAAAATTATCTCCCGTTTTAGAATCCAGAAGAATTCGGGCTGCTCATTTCCTGATTTTTTCCATTTAAGCTCAATTATTTGCTAGGAAATAAAGGCAATGGAGGGTAAATTGTCCCTGGAGATTTTCCGGGGCTTCTCTGCGCAGACTGTCAGTGCAGAAGCTGTTGTTGTGTTTTAGGTTTTAGAGTAAACAGGGTGTGTCTGCCTTCACACTAATTCCAAAAGCATCTTCAATTTTACCCTAATGGACGGTTTGAGCTGTTGGCTGGGAGCAAAATATATTTCTGTTTATTAGCCTTGACAGAGCCCAAACTACCTCTTTGTAGAAAATAATGCGAGTGTGGTTGTGATGTGTTTTTCTATTTTAGGGTTGGGTATTGGAGAGGGAGGTGTGGCTTGTTCTGAAAGAAGTAATCCTAGTTCAATCAGTTTACACTTAAATTCATATTATGCGAGAGTAGGTAATATATGTTTATTTCAAATTTATCTATTTTACTTGTCCATTACAGCTGCCAGATTTCAGTCAGTTTCAAATAAATGAGGATATAGAGTAATAAGTGATTCTACTGACATCACCATTCAGAGGACGGTGGGATGTGAACAAACCTCTGTTCCTTCCTCCAGATTTCTGAGCTTGCACTTCCCTTTGTTGTTTTAGCTCATGGGTTTTGTTAAGGTGCTATAACTTGTGCTGCAGCGTGATTTTATTGGAAACAACAGCAACAAAACATCATTTTTCTGGAGCCTAACATTTCCCTAGAAAATAACTACTCCATTTTTCATATATCAACAGTAGTTTATATTAAACATATAGCCAAGCTATGGCCTAGATGATAAGTTAAACGTAAACTGGTCATGATTTACTTCCTCTTAAATCACAAGAGGAGGCTTGAGGTTTCCTTTATTTTAATAAATTGCATAGATGTCCTCCCCACCCTCGCCCTCTAGGCTGCCTCGCACCCTTGTGCCCTGGTCGGCACAACACGTTGTCAGGTAGGAACACGGCCCCGGAATCCGTCCACACTGTGCGTTCCGTCAGATACCAGATCTTCAGGCTCACAGAACGTCCTCCTTGCGGGAGTTCTGTGAGCCTTGCTGCCCTGCCCGACACTGGAGGTGCTTCTCTGATGGACGAGATCAGGTTTGCTTATCCTCTGAACCCTGGGGTGATGTGGTCAGTGGAGGGAAACAGGTCCGAGCCTCCAGGTACCAGATCTACTGCCTTTTCCCCACGGGACTGCTTTTATTTGGCAACATCCTGTTTCAGCCTTTGGGTGCTTTTATTACCTCTCTTGATAGTGAGTACTTTCCTGTGATTTCATTTTATTAAGGGTTAGACCTTCGTTTTATAGCATGACATACTTTAACGTTGCCCCTCTTACTTTATTCATTTTTAACTTCACAAGTAATTCATGAATATATTCTTAGTTTAAAAATTAAAACGATAAATTCTCTGATTGCACAGGTGGGGAAAACTGAGGCGTCAAAAGTTATCTGATCGGGCGTGCTTGCCTTGAGTGGTTGGGGTCGAGGACGCTCTCCAGGGCCCCAGAAGCTCCGGACCTTTGTGTAGCCCTCTGCCTGATGCATGAAGGCAGTTGTCTCTCTTAAGTTTCAAACTCAGGTCCAGAAGCCATAATTTCACCCAGCCTGAGATGAGTCAGGGAAGTTACTTGTTTGCAGTCGGTAGGGAATTAATGGATAGATTTTATGTTTCAGCAGCTCCATGTTTTGCTGGCCCTGATCCTTGGATGGAAGTAGGGCAGGAATGAGGTGAGAGGGCAGGTGGTTTCAGGGCCCTGATAAAGGGTGGAGGGATAAGAGATAGGAGAGAAGGGAGCTGGCACCTCGTGCCCTTTCTGAGATCTTCAAAGCCATGCATGTTTATAGAACAGGCCCTAACCTTCTCTGGGCAGCCCTGGGCTGGGCTGGGCTGGGCTGGGCTGGAAGTGGGGAGGTAGTTACTATCCAAAATAGAAAGGTTTCAGTCCTGTCACATCCATGCGGGGGTTCTGTGAGCCTTGCTGCCCTGCACGGCACCGTAGGTGCTTCTCTGGTGGATGAGATCAGGTTTGCTTATCCTCTGAACGCTGTGGCGAGGTGGTCAGTGGAGGGAAAGCGGTCCAGGGCTCCAATTACTATCTTCTCTCCCAGGCCAGAGATTTTCCCAGAATGTTTCACTGCCTTGGTCCTCTTCTAGCATGACTGATGCTTCTGACTTTGCTAGCAGTACTAGTAGATATTGGCACATCAGCTTTGGAAAGGTTGTACCATTTGTACCCCCACTGGCAGTATATCAAAATACCTATTTCCCCAAACCATCACCAGCACAGAGTTTTGCTCTTCTTTACTTTTAATTAGCAGTATTTTTGTTCTGTTTTATTTTCTGTGAATGCCTTCCTCACACCGTCGAGTCCCCTGTCCAGACAATTCTTCCATTTGAAGGCAGGGAGCGGATGGTTTACTCTTGAGCTCCTGCCGCAGGCAGGGCCCTGGGACGGGTGCTAGAGATAAAGTGATGCCAGTGTCTGCCATGGTGAAGCCCTCAGTGAAAAAACAAAATACACACGGTAACTCTTTTATACATGTTACTAATAATTACCATCAGGCTCAGGGCAGGAACCGCTCAGAGAACAAGGGTCCTCCTTTACCACGTCAGTCTGGAGGCATTTGCGGTGCTGGGCTTTTGGCTGGGCCTTTGGAGACAACTGGGGATTTAGAAAATTTGGTTGGTACCGCTCTGGCTGGTAGAGTACCAGGATATGCCTTCTGGTGGGGCCCTGACTCCACGGAATCACATCGGTCCTGCTCATCCCCCATGGATCCTGGGGACCCAGCCTGAGGATAGCAGTGTCCTGGTTCCTTTGTAGCATAACCAGACCTGGCGGCCTGCCCCCGTCACCTGCTAGCAGATGGCGGAGCCGGGGGAGAAATCATTGCCATGTAGATGAATTTCAAGTAGGAATTAAGCCGAAATCTGTAATCATGACATCTAAGGGGGAAAAATCCCTTCCTCCGATTCCACATTGAGGACTGGGTGGGGCAGTGGCCTGCGTTTGCTGAAAGTGTTTCTTTATTTGTGGGCTGTGTTTTCAGTGCCTACTGGTTGCTCCAGATTTGAGGCATGGTGAAAACTCCTGTCACAAAGACAGTGCTTTTTCGATCAGAAACCCCGTGTTGTTTGTAGGTGCTGAGGAAGTAATATTGAGCAATGAAAGGTTTCTCCCTTCCTCTGAAAAGAGAACCAGAAGCCCATCTTTCTGATGTAAAAATCTCAGAGTTTGTTTCATCTTTCGCGTTGGGTATTTAACCAGAGCACCTGCAGGAAACAACTATTTTTCACTATTAACAAAAATGCTTTAAAAAGTATTCTCATTCCTTCTCTGGGCTAATAACAGAAACAATTTAATGTTTAAGTGATTTACATTTTAGGGTTAAATAGAAAACAAATCATTTGTATACATATATTCAAATCAGGGCGTTGCATGCACGATGCCACAAGGATTTTCTGAGCTTGAGTTCAGCTTGCGTATTCTTCCCATTTTAAGTTGTGACTTTCGTATTTTGGACCATTTAAGCGTTTGTTTCTGTTTTCAAGAATAGGATGTTTTCATAGGCCAGCATTTACTCCTGGTGATTCTGTTTTATATTTCCTTTAACACAAAAGACATCTTCTTGAGTTATCCAGACTCAGGATTTAATTTTGTTAGTTTTCTGTGTAGTTGACCACTTCTCCTGGTTCTGCCACTTACTGTTATTTATGTGTCTGTACATATAGGTGTGTATCTCCAAGAGATGCCCAGTCTGCTTGGACAGTGGTGCTGAGAGCCTGAGGGGCTCCTGTAGGGACCTCGTTCCCCTGCTGCATTTCTGTCTGGTGACCCACCCCGTTTCTCACCCTCAAAATTTTTGTTGGCTTCCTAAATGTAAAACAAGCCCAGTCCAAGGTGTGAAATGGCATTTGAAGTTTGAGAAACGGTGCTTCTGTGTCCACTTCTTTCTTCCACCCTTCTTTTGCCCACCCAAGTCCTACCCTCCCTCAGACCTTGGCCCAGCTCCTTTTCTGAGAAGGACACTCCCAGTGACCTCCAACCTCAGGAATTCTTCCCTTTTTCCTATAATACTTATAGTTTGCACTCTTTGTCGGGCCCTGAATTGTGAGTGCTCTGTGACAGACCCTGCAGGCCGTCAAATGGCCGTCTGACCTCCGTCTGATGGCCTAGCTCCTCAGCTGGCCTCAGGCCACTGCGGGCAGTGGATTTCTGCCGCGTTGGACTTCCTGGGCTCCCCAGCACTCGGCCTGGATCTGGTTCTGCAGATGCTGACACACTCAGAGCCGAGTGCATTTAAGGTCCACTCCCAAGTGAGAAGCCACGTCTTCGGTCGTTTGTGGCTGACTTCAGGGTGTGAAAGAAGAGCAGTGTCAAGAATGGTATATTGACCACCAGTGATCTGTGAGGCCAGAGGTCTGTTAATGCAGCGTAGCCTCACTGCCCTCCCCCCACTGTCAGGAAGCCTGGGCAGGCGCAGATGTTCTGCCATACACAGCTGGAGTGGCCTCCAGTTCAGAATTCCCTCTTGCTAAGTTCCTGCAACCACGTGACTCTTCTGTGACTCTCTGGCTGACCTCTCAACGGTGCTTCATCTGCCTTTGGTCTGCGTTGGAAGCCTGGTCCTACAAGGAAAGCACAGTCTAAGACACGGACAGTGGACGACCAATTAAAAGAAGACTGGCCGCAGCCAGGGCAGCTCGAGGTTGGGAAGGTTGGCTGAGACATCCTCTCGGATCTCGGGAGCTTGTGGCCGGATCATGAAAGGCTGGGAGGACTTTCCAGGCACCGGGGCCGTGTTCTGACTCATCAGGGAGACCTTGGTTACCTTGTCCTCCTCTGGAGGCTTCGTAGGCAGACCCAGCTCTGCCTTCCTGCCTACCTGGTGACCATGTCAGCTCAGCTCTTAGGACTCTGAGGCCCCTCCTGTCCATGACCTTCAAGTCACAGGGGCTATTGGCCACATTTCCCCTGGCACGAGGAAGAGAATTGCTGGAAGCCACATGCCTTGTCCTGTACACACAGGTGTAGGCAGGGAGGTTCACTGCAGGTCTGTTTGTAATGCAAAACATTGGAGCCAAACCCACATAGCCGGCAGAAGGGCACCTGTCAGCGGTGACACACCTGTGTGAAAGAGACACTGCAGCAGTTCCAACAGGAGAGGAAGGCTTACATGTGTGCACTGGAAAAGGTTGATTGCTAAGCAAAAGAAGCAAGTTGTAGAATAATATGCACAATATGATCCCCTTTGTGTAAAATTGCATATCAATAATGTATTCCTGTGTGTACATAAATAAGTGTGTAAGTGTACAGATAGGAGCTTGCAAGGACCGTATCAGACTCCTGGGAATGGTAAAGAGCAGTAGGATAGGAGAAGAGGGTGGAAAGGGTGAGTTTCACTTTTTTCTCTATTTATTTTCCACAGTGGGAGTATCTTCATAGTATCATTTTGAAGGAAGAGAGGTAGGGAAGGAAGGTAAGCAGGTGGCCACACTTGGTGTCTGGAGTGGTGACAGGCAGATTGCACTTGGGTGTCCAGGCTTGGCTGGAATGGGTTCTGTGTTTGGTACCAATGTTTCCCATGGATTCACATGTGAACGTGTGGCCTCAGACACACTGCATGCTTGTCATCCTCCTGGGTCAGCGGGTGCAAAGCGTCTCTTTTAGTCATCTTAATCTTCAAAGGGAGAAGAAAGCCCATGACACACCTCTCAACTGTGCACATTTTATTTTCAATATCAGTTATGTTGTACTTCTACTTGAACGTTTCAGTTAAATGAGTTTATATCCTCTTTTAGGATTCACAGATCCCCTAGTGATACAGCTTGAAGCACTGGGCAGGGTTTCCTGGTCAGATTGGTCGGTGTGGATGAGTTCTGTTACTCTACTGGCATTACAGAAACCACCACACTATCATAACTGCTGATGAGGTCCAGGGCCTTTGAAAGCAAATCGTTGTTCGACCTGGGATCGTTCTCAGGCTGACAGTTGTTTCCATCTCTCCGGTGAAGTCTCTGAGTATCGGCGGCACCTCCTGGGCCAAAAGTTTGCAGCTTTCATGTGTTGAGGCAAATTTCTTTGAAGCCAACCCCAGACTTAAATAGAAATGACTCAAATAGAAATGATTATGGTAGGTATCGAAAACTGTCTAGTAATCGCTCTTTCTCGAATCCAGCCGTGTCTGAGTTCCCCGTGTGTGGGCCGTCAAGCGCGAAGAAGGCGGCTCCCCTGGCTGCTGGCCTTCTGTGACAAATGGAATTCTGAAGCCAGAATTCCAGCGCAGATGAGCCAGAGGGGCTGAAACTGCCGAGGCCTGCGTTGGTTCCAGGCAGGAAAGCAGTGCTTCTTGTCTGTGAGCGAAAGAGGTGTGTTAACTTCCCTTTGCCCGGCTCCCTGGAGCTCCTGGTGTGGGCGCGCTCTCTAGTTCTCACACTTACTGACCAGCCTCCACCACGTAACTGAAGACTTTTGCAAAACACTCTTCTTCCTAGACTTTTCCTCTCAGTCAAGTCCCAGTTTCTTGAGCATCTCCTGCTGAGCTTCCATCTCCTCTCTCTTCTGCAGACGCCCCTGTGCGATCGCGTCCTGTGCATGGGCGCCAAGCGCTGCTTCTGGAGGGGACTCTCCTAGCTCAGACCCCTCCCAGAGTCCTCAACGGGGAGTATGCTAGTGGCAGGATCTGCCAGGATTTCCAAACCGAGGTCTCAGGAGAAGCATGTGACACATGGTCTCTCCCCTCTGCTCCAGCTGGAATGGCAGTATGCACTGACACACTGCGGCAGGATTGCCCGTAAGTGCTGGATGGTAGTTGGTCTGTTTATACAACGTCCTCATGCCCACGGACTGGGGGTTGGGGAAGACTTTGTGAAGAGGAGTGTTGAGGCAGCCTTGCAGGACTGGTATGTCCGCTTCAGTGGGGAGGTGTGTCTCACGTAGGACCAGCCCTTCCGGGCTGGTCAGGAAGGGGGAAATGAGGACACGTGTGGATGTCGTCTGGTTGCGGAGTGGAGAGGGTGGTCAGCGTGGGGGGTGAGGGGGGTGCCACGTTCAGTTCTCCTTTTGGCTAAATTGGGAGTTACTCCTTCAGATTCAGCAAATGTTAATTGAGCACCTACCTTGTAGCAGGGATTGGGGATAAAATGCAAAGAGGAGTACGCTGTGGCCCCACACTAAGAAGAGACAGGCAAGAAATCCTTAAACGGTGCGGAGCTGCGAGTGCACGTCAGAGCTGAGGGGCCTGGGGCACCATCCCCGCTGGGTCAGCCAGGCCTCGCCACAGAGCGGGCAGTGTGGACTGACCCCCCAGGGTAGGGGGGTCTGCTGGGGAGCGGAGGATGGATGCTGGGTGAGGGCGTGTGTGCAGGGCACCAGGTGTGCAGAGCACAGGGCTCAGCGGGGCAGGAGCGCCAGGAGCCAGGCTGGAGAGGCAGAGGCGCCGGGAAGATTAGGAAAGGTTTATTCGTCAAGCCGAGGAGTCTGAGCTTCGTCTTGTGTGAAGCAGAGACTCAGCAAAGACTTATGAACAAAGTCAGGTGACTCCTTCACATTTCCTTTCCAAGATTCTGACTAGGGGATGGGATGGAGGGAGGGAGACAGTTACCAAGGAAACTGCTGGGAAGCTCTCACGGTAATCCTGGTCAGAAACCGTGAGGGCTGGACTGGGACGCCAGGAAGTAGAGGAGTCATCTGCACAAAGAGACACAGCAAGGTTAGAAATCAAAGGATGGGAAACAGGTCTCCAGCAAACATGAACCAAAAGAAAGGTGGCATGGTAATAGTCTTATCAGACAAAATAGAATTCTTGTGGGCACCTTATAAAACCCTAAGCAGATTTGCCATTTTCAGGTGCTCCTGTAATTCATTGCCAGGTAGGCACTGCCAGTGGGCCCTGTGCCTGCCACACCTGCAAGGGAAGTGGCCCAACCTGACTCCAGGAGCTGGGGGTGAAGCAACAGTACCAGCTGGTGCCGTCGCCTTGCTGCAGCCGAGGCCCTGCCTTCCCCTCTCTGTGCTCTGACTCCTGGGATGTTGCGGGACGTTTGTGTGTGTGCCAGGGCAGAGACTGGCAGAGGCCCCGGGTCTGGAGTGAGAAATTGTTTCTCTCCTCTCAGCTATCACCACGAGAGGAGCACAGGTGTGGTTCCAACATCGGTGACTGAGCAGGGCATCTGCAGCCGCTCTGCTCTCTCTTCTAAGGGAAAATCACTGAATCCGCGGTGAGGGCGGAGGCTGGCTGGCGGAGAGGACACGGGTGCGTCTGCATTCGGGGTGGGATGCCCCTCCTCTTGAGGGCCAACTGTGGACAGGCTTGGTGGCTTCCCAGACTTTGTCCCAACTAAAGGAGCGTCATCCACAGAACTACTGCCAGAGCCAGAGAAAGGAGAGGCCACCCCGCGTTGTCCCAGTGGCTGCAGAGGGACGCTGCTGCGACTCGTGCGATCACCTGAGGCGTCTCAGACAACAGAGTGGAGCCTGGGCTTCGGCTTGAGCGTTCCAGGCCTGGAAACTCTTCCTAACCAGAGTAGTTCAGAGGTCGTTGCCGACCGTACTGGCCTTCAGCGTCCTCAGGGCCTAGCGATGGTGGAGCTGGTCCGACCTGAACTTACCTGTGTAACCAGACCAGCCCCACGGAATCCAAGTGGAAGACACTCACAGATCCCCAGATCAACCCAAAGGGACTGAATTCAAACGGCCTTGTAGAACACCCCGACTCACGGCGAAGAACGATCTTCCCAAGTGTTTGCCTTTCTCCCACGCCCCCTCCCATGTTCCTGTAACCTGACACTTCCCCACTTTAACGCTGGAACCCTCTCCTGCTGCCACCCCTGCACTTGCAGTGGCGTCAAGACCAGTGGTTTCAACCAGTTGTCTTGACGTCCTGCCCACCCCCATGAAGGACCTCTGGCCTCCCCACACAGTTCTCCCCTCTGTGCCCACTGCGAGAGGATGCAGCTGTCAAAATAAAAATGGCCCGTCGGCTTGCTTTCAGCGGCAGCGTCTGGGAGGGAGGGCTCGGTGAAGTGTTGCCCTTCAAGGAAGGCCTGGGGCACTGAGCAGAGCGGAGTCAGTCTTAGAGCAGAGCAGGGAAGGCGCCCCTCCCCTGTAGTGCTGGAGGTTGGACCCCCGCACTGTGGTATGTCGGCGACCCGCGCGCCGGGGAGATCCAGTGCAATCTGACCGTCCACACGTACCTGCCTTGGAGAGCGCGCCCTTCCTCACGCCCAGGAGAAGCAGGAGTCATGGACTCACGCGCTGGCCTTTACCGCATCCCACCTGTGCGTGTCCGTACCCTGACCCCACCCACGCAGGACTGGCTATCTCGCAGGGCAGTGCCCTGCTCTGGGTCAGTGTTTGCTTCATTCTCGAAACACCATTTCTGGGGTCTGACCCCACCTGGAGGATGTGACGTTAGGCCCGAGGGACCTTGAATGCTGCTTAGAAAAAGCTCCTCAAGTGCCGAGGATTGCGCCCCAGTGGAATCTGCGGCGTTGGCCACTCGCCTGTAGGGAGGTCTCGTCCCATTGGGAGGGAGGGAGTCTGGACTCATTTGCTTGGCAACCCACAAGAGGGACCACAGACAACATTCCAAACGCTGAGCTCCTTGCGGAGGAGGGGCTGGGCACCCTCCTGCACAGAGGCGAGGCCAGCCGGCAGCGTACCCACGCATGAGCCCGGCCCTCCAAAGCCCCGGGCGACACCTCTGCAGCCTGGTCTGTGCTGGTGACAACACACGCCTCGTTTCTTTGTTAGCACCTCCAGCCGCTCAGTGCTTCACAGGTGGAATCAAATCTCCTTTTTTAGAAAAGTCCTGTGTTGGAGAGAAATTCCTCTGTGCCTCTCTCCAGAGTGAGGAAGAGAGCCAGACACAAGTGATGGTTTAGAATCAGGCAATCCCAAGGCCTGAGCCCCCGAGGCCTGATCCTCATATCCCGTGTGTGGAAGAGGAATGCGACGTGTGATTTACCTAATGAGCTCCAGGTTGTCACGGTGACCTCGAGGCGTCACTGTCCGACCAGGGCTCAGCACACCTTCTGTCAAGGGCCAGATGATGAATATGTTTGGCTCTAGGACCCTGAGGTTTCCGGGCAGCACTCTGCCGCCCCCTCCCACCCGTGTCCTGAGAGAAACTGCAGGCCACACGCAGATGAACAGGCGGGCTGTGTCCGGACACACACGGGCCTGTTTGTCACCTCTGGACTTGGTGGCCAGGTGGCAGGGAGTGTAGCTGGGGTGCACCTCAGGGACTGAGCCAGCGGTTTCCAGGGGCCTGTGTTGGGAATGAAACTTGGCGCCACTGAGTCCCCAGTTTAATGCACTCCTGGAAATTTCTGAGCATCTGGCCAGCCTCCACCTTAGTAATAGTTTTTCGTTGTTAGTGAGATGGGCGCAGCATCCTGCTGAGATTTAGAGCTCATAGGACCCTGCAGATGGAGACATCGCCCTTTAACACGGCTTGGCCTGCCTGCCTGCCCTGGGCGGTGCTTCCTGCCAACTCTAGGGACCTCTGGCCCCCCTTGACACGGGACTCTCAGGGCACATTGGAATTTAATATTCTAAAGGTGGATCTCCCTTCCTTCACTTAGTGACCATGTATTGATGATCTCTGGAGAGAGAGGTGCCTAGGGCGCTGCAAGAAAGATGAGTGAGATGGGACCCAGGCATTGAAGGGAACTGGGGTCTAAGGGAGATACCCTCAAGTCAATTACCGTCCTCTGTGCTGGGGCCCCGGCACCCTGTGCGGCCCATTGGGTGCTGGGTGGCAGTTAGAGAAATCGCTGGAGTCAGCCTGGGACGGGGGTGCTTTCTGAGGAAGTGCCCCCCAGGACTCCTGAGGGAGAGAAGGACCCACAGGAGCCTGGGGAGGGGGAAGCAGGAAAGTGCAGGATGCCTGGGGGTCTCAGGCAGCAGGTGCCTGGGCTTGGTGAGCTGGAGGAAGGGGGCTCGTAACAGAGCCACAGAGCTTGGGAGGGGGTCGTTTTACTTTGCAGACGGGGTGTTTCACCAGCCGAGACACACGATCAGATAAAAATCCACCTTTGTGTCTTTTACAGGCAAACTTGGTCCACTGCTGATCACTCCTGAGGAGTGTTTCATTCACGGTGACTTTCAACGTGGTCGTGTAGCATTAACACCCGTTAGGTTACACCGTAGAATTGCTCGATTTGGAGAGATTTTGCCGAAACTGCCCTGTTTTCACGAGTCACATCGGGCGCACCAGCAGGTCCTCAGACAGAACCCAGGTCGCGGAAGAGGGTTAGGTGGTTGGGCTGGCGTGACCTCCCCATCGCCCGCCCTCGCAGCCTGAGGGACTCCAGCGGACTGTGCCCGTGTTAGCAAAAGGAGTTAGAGCAAAAATAAGCCTTTGGGTTCTCCACCTGTTGACCTGACGAGTCAAATGTATGTCGTTTTTTGACTAACCTGAAAGAAGCCAGCAGGTGCTGGAGGGTTCTCATTTGCATTTTTTCTCACAAAATCAAACTGAGCGCTAAATCTTGTCTCTCCACTCTGACCTTCCCACCCCTCCCCTCCCCACCAAGCACCACAGAGTTCTTGGAAGTTGTTATTTGTGGCGGTGTTTCCTAAATTTAGCTGATGCAGGAAGAATCAGTGGCAAGTGGGGACGTTAAGAAAATGCATCTTCGGTTTAGAACCTGGATTTAAGACGTGTATCATGTGGCACAGCTAAGGGGCCGCAGTTAGCTTCTGGGGTGATTTTCTACAGTAGTTTCTTTGAGATTTTTGCTGCGGTATAAACAACCAAACAAGAGAGATGGCGGAGCCTCACCCTCGGGACCTTCCCTGTCTGGTGTTTTGTGCTGATTTCCAGCTCTTAGTCCGCAGACGCACATCGGGTTTTCCAGATGTAACCTCTTTATGGATATAACTATGTACTGTACTTTTTCCTTTTAAAATGTTATTGGCTGGGTGAAAATTCTTACATCAAGGAGAAATACTAATCAAAGTGTATGTGCCAGGAGCTGGGCTTGGCTTCCACGTACATGAGCGATTTGGGCATCTTCCTGGGCTTTCTCTGCACTGAGCCTCTGCCAGGAGGGGCCCTCGAAACAGACAGTGAGGCTGTCAAACCTGGTATGTTTGTCCAAAAGCAATTCCAAGTCAGCAGTTGCCATCTGTTGGGTATGTGACCTTTAAGAGTGTGGCCAGACTAACTTTTTCAGAGTTTACCTACCTTTAGGTTTATATAAAAGTGCAGAAGTTGTCAAATTCATAGCGACAGAAAGTAGAAGGCTCGCAGGGGCTGGGGAGGGGTGGGAGCTAGTGTTTAATGGGGACCGAGTTTCCATTTGGGAGGATGACAAGGTTCTGAAGGTGGGCGGCAGGGATGTGAATGTGAGTGCATTAATGCCTGTGAGCTGTGTACTTGTTAAAGTGGTTAAAATGGTTAATTCTATGGTGTGTGTGTTTTACCACACCAGAAAAGTGGAGAGAGCGATTGTCTCAGGCGAGAAAGACTTTTTAAAAATTAGTGTATAAGCTGTGGTCCTGCTTCTGATCAGGTGTGAGACAGTTCAAATTGAATTCTTTTTTTATTTAACACTGTATTTCCAGTCCTATTTATTTATTTATTTTTTATTTTTGGCTGCGTTGGGTCTTCATTGCTTTGCGCAGGCTTTCTGTAGTTGTGGTGAGCAGGGGCTACTCTTCGTTGCCGTGCACGGGCTTCTCATTGCAGTGGCTTCTCTTGTTGCGGAGAACAGGCTCTAGGTGCACGGGCTTCAGTGGTTGCAGCACATGGGCTCAGTAGTTGCAGCGCGTGGGCTCAGTAGTTGTGGCGCACAGGCTCTAGGGTGCGGGGGCTCAGCAGTTGTGGCGCACGGGCTTAGTTGCTCTGCGGCATGTGGGATCTTCCCAGAACAGGGCTCGAACCCGTGTCCCCTGCATTGGCAGGTGGATTCTTAACCACTGCGCCACCAGGGAAGTCGCCACATTTAATTCTCTTTAATTTTATGTTTCTTTTCTGGACTCAAGAGTTTTTTGGGAATGTGGTGAAACTAGCTTTTCATGGGGTCTTCAGCTTATTTTCTCAGGCCGTGCAGTACAGCCCCCAAACATGCTGGTCAAAGGAAAAACGCAGTCTCTTCAGGGGTCCTCCCATGCACACCCAAGTTGCTGCTGGCACTGAACGGGATAAATGAGAAACCAAGATTTCTGATTATGTCGTTTCTGCCTGGATTTCCCGACTCTGGCCCCTTAAGTGAGCCCCTGCTTCTCCTACTGATGTTTCCTCTTAGGTTGTAAATAGGCAGGAAGGAGTTATTTTCTGTAACTGGTCTCCATTAGCGTCCTGGGAGAGAGAAGACAGCTCTGAAGGGCTTGGCCTTTCCTTTGAAAAGTAGAATGTCAACTAGGTTCTTCAGAAGACTCTTACTTACGATGTTTCAGAAAGAAAAGAACAGTGAATTTTAGAAATTGTACTTGAAACAAGCGAGAGTTTGATTCCTTCACTAGTCCTGAAATCAGAACCTTGGCCCTGCTTTTCAAGTACTTGCCTACGTATCGTTTTAAGTGTAATCTTTAGTTTCAGACCCAAAGAAAGGCAAAAACCTTACTCTTGGTGGTTACTATGCTTGTTGAAACAGAAAACTGAAAATTATTAGAACTTTTGAGAATACGGACTTAGAAAGCTTTAACCTTTTGTTCAAGAAGAGCCTCTGGAATACTTTCTCAACTTTCTTTTCAGTCAAGTGATGACTACCGCTTCTTTGAAAACCTAACAAAAACAAAAACTTCATCCAAAAAGCGCTCCTTGGCAAATCCCACCTAACTCTTACTTCTTTTCTGTATTTTCCTAATTTTTTTCCTACGTTGTGTCACATTAGTGTGACATTATGTCACACTAATCGATGTGTCACTTGGTATTGTGAAGATTTAGTGTATACGTTTTTTGCCTTTTTTCCTCCCTCTGGTTCCCATTTCATCAGTATTGGTGCCATTCTCAGGACATGTGAGGCCATTCAGAAGGTCATGTAGTCCAAAGAAACTGGTTGCTCTTTCTTTGTCCCTCGTAGGAACCATGGCCGTCTTAACTGAGCTTCTTTTTGTACTTCAGTGGGCACTCCTGGGCCAGCTCTCTAAGGTGAGAGTCTGTAACTCGACATTTATTAGCTCCATAAAAGTTTAATGTCAATTAGCTTTCCAACAATCACTTCTTTGAAGATCATGGAAATACTGAATTTTTACTTATTTAGTAAGAATTTTGTTTCAAAGAAGATAACTGATTTTAGGGGTTTTAAAAAATACCAGCGGCAAATACGAAGGAGGAGATACCCCCAGCAAGCGCTGTAATAAAAGGGAGACCATGGCTGCTGCTTTCATTGCTTGTGAAGTTTTCAGGTTGCTCTAGAATTTTGTCCTATAATAAGACGTTCTTTATTTTTTTGCTAAACTTTCCGTAACTTAGCTAAACATCTGTCTCTCTGAACTCCAGCACTACAGAAAGGTCCTTTGTTTAGGTCCAGGTAGATGAAAAATTGTGTTCCACATCATATTAAAACATTTGCTGAGCCCAGTTCTTTAATAATTTTAAGTCTGTCCGGCTTTCTCATTAGCGTTGCGGTCCTTCACGCTGCCAGCACTCTTGCTGCTTTCTGAATTAGTAATTAACTGAATTGTACACATGTGCAGGCATCTGAAGCCTTCTTTCAGGCACCTTCTGTTCTGCAGTCTGTGGCCTCCAAGAAAGATACTTTTTGTGCTTTGTTAATGACTAAGCCAGGATAAGTAGACGTTCTTGGGTGGTGAGCAACTGAACCTTTTCGACAGTTTTGACTCCTTTCTTCACTGTATTTGCATAGTTTGTTCCCTTCTTATTGTAGATCACGGTGAGCTGCTTCTTAGCTGTGTCCCGCTGGAGCGTGTGTGTGCGCGTGCCCCCAGCATGGCGTGCCTCTTGTTTCTGTGGTCACCAGAATAAGGCCTGGGCACGTCACAATATTTTTCTCCCCTTGTACTATTCTTACGATGTGATCTTCATGTTAACTGATTTTCACCTCGTTCTTATCATCCAGCAGACGTTTAGTAAGTGCCTGTGGTGTGCCAGGCATCATTCCAGGGAAGGTTCTTACTGCTGTTATTGTGTCTTTGAGAGAACATGATCTTGTATTGTATATTTTCAGCGTCCTTCCTTTGCAGTAGGGGATCCCCAAACTTGTGGCCAGGAGACCCTTTGTTCCTCCTTAAATGCGTCACAGATGGGAAGCCATCATTGCCACGTGCCCGTCCCAGCTAGTGAGGCTGAGGGGACCGACGTGGCCGAAAGGTGCTTCCTCACCCTCGGCAGGCACGGAGTGGGGACACCCCTTGCCACCTTCTCCCGGCTTGCTCCTGCTGTGCGGGGCTGGCCTCTTTCCCTTCGTACGTCAGGCACCACAGAGGGGAACGAGACCCCGTCCAGAGACCCCTGAAGCAGCAGAGCACCCCCCCCCCGACACCATGCTGGCATTGATGGCGGACGCTCTCGATAAGCTGAGAGCCACTTACCCTCCCCTCCTCTCTTCCTTCTCTCCTTTTTTTCTCTCCTCCCGACATATGGGCTGGGCCGGCTCTGGATTCTGCAGGATTAAGGGGCTGTCGGTCGGAAAGTGCGGCAGGTGCTTTCATCCCACATTAGAGGGACCCGCCTCAGCATTGCTGCCTAGCAGCTTGCTCAGACCGACAGTCGCAGGAGAAGGGAAAGTGGAACCCTGAGAACCCTTCCCGTCCCTCTGGAAGGGCTGGTCTGAAGGAACTTGGGGGAAGTGTGTGGGAGGGAAGCATTTCACAAGCTTCTGGGCCTGATCCAGCCGACTCTCACTTCAGAGTAAAAGGAAAAAAGTAAATGAGTCATTTCAATGGCGGATCACAAGATGATCAGTGTGTGTCTACACCAGCAAGCCTGTTGGCCTCCATGAGGGGAGGCGTGAAATGACTCTTTTTAACAGTGTCGTTTCCTTTTCCATTTTCTTTCCCTTCATATCAGGGCTGTCAAACCTCTCTGGGTTTGGAGCTGCTTAGAACTTCAGGCAGCCACTTCACTGTTTCCAACAGAGCACGATGCCCAGAGTCCAGGGGACGGGGACGGAAGGAGACAGTGAGGTGACGAAGCGAAGCTTGAGTGAGGGACAGCCTGCTGCTTCACGTTCTTCTCCCAGCAGCTAACCCGTGGCGTGTTAGCACGTTTGGCCACGTGTGGAGTGTTCCGCTGTGGTTAAGTAGCAGTAAAACTCGTCTTCTTGGAGATCCACGGGAGCCTTTGTTAGAAGATGTCGTGACTGACTCAAAACTGAAAAATATATATACATATACGTGTATGTGTGTGTGAAATAAGCAGGAGAAACGATTTTTCTGACCTCTCATAATGGTGGGGGACAGGAAGGGGAATTGTGTCACTCAGATCTCAGTTGCAGACAACAGATTCCACTCTGAGGCACTTCAGCAGAAAGGGGCTTGTTAAGAGAGAGCCGAGGGCTATGATCTCCTCCGAAGAGCTGGAGAGACAGGCTGCCAACTGCAGCTCGAGGAACAATACCCAGTGCACAGCATACAACTGCCCACTGTGACCTGCTGCCACGTCCGCCCAGCACTTCCCGCCTCAGCCGCCACCTGCACCTGTTGAGCAGGTGCTCTTTACCCATCTGACACTTCCCGTGTCCTGTTTCCAAATCTGCCTCAAGTAGGTGTGTCAGATGATGCAACCAGGTCCGAGTCTGCACCCTAACAGCAAAGGAGGTTGAGAAACATAGTTTCTATAGCTTCTGTGTTGGAAAGTGGGATCCACAACGTGGAGGAGGACCACATGTTCCTCACAAGACTGCACTAGCAAGTACAACACAGAAATTCCTAATGATACGAGTTGAGTGTAAAATTTTAATGATCAGCTGCAAAAAAATTGCAAATAATTCTAGAAATAATAATTTTATGCCTTCAACTGCTAAGGGACATGTGGTTGTCTGTACCATGATTCCACATATTTCTCCTTCTTTGACTCTCTTAGGTTGGTTACTTTTCTAGTTTCGGAAAATGTGTTCCCCGTTAATTATCTATGACCTGGTGGCTAGATTCTGTTAGATTAGGCTATCAAGAGAGAAAGGTTTAAAAGTGGTTTATTTAAGTCTTCATGAAGCCATTTTCCTTCGCAAAGTTTGCTGAGATTTCTAGACTTTGTTTTTTTACTTGACATTGAAGACCTTTTGAAATATACTTTAAATCCCTCCAAAGAAGAGGCAACCAGGCTTTTAATAAAACTCAAATTTGGCATGATTTTTTATAGTATGAATTTACATAAACATTTTTATAGATTTTTATAGTGAACAATGTGAAGTTCATTTTTTTTCAAATTGGGTCATTCTTTTAAAAAAATATTAGTTTGGTATGTAAACTTTTACTCTTCTGAAAAGCAAGCAAAATAAATCAAATTGTTTCGAGTGTGTGAAGCTCCTACCATTGCATCAGTGAAACTGTAACTCTCCTCCTCCTAAGACTGTCGTATAACATGTCATCATGATAAGGTTTTTACTATCAGTGCTTCCTTTTTGGCCATTCAGGATCTTAAGTGAAATAGATTTAAAGAGTAGAGTATTTGAACAAGCATCAGAGATGACAGTTTTGAAACTTGTAGACACTTCCTGGGAAGGACTCAGTCATCTCGCTTCTTTGATAAACCCTGTCTAACCTACAAACGAGAGCATGAATATTTGTGTGCATGGTCATAGAAAATGACCAGGAACTTAACTAAGAGTTTTCCTCCAGTTCCTTGGCAATAGAAGATGAGTGAAAAACTTCTCCTTTTTACTTTTTATTTTTTGACCTGAGTAAATAGTTCCTTTAAATACTTTTCTCCACAGAGTATCATCTTTTTATCTTATTTTATTTTTTATCATTCCACAGGGGGTCAAATACCTGTGCATTCCAGCAGCAGATTCACCATCTCAAAACCTGTAAGTTTTTTTCTGTATTATTTGGACATATTAAAGATAAAGGACTTAAAGCCATCAGAGCAGAGGGACCTCGATGCACAGCTGCCGCCCGGCCGCGATGGGGGAGGGCCAGGAGGTCAGCGCTGCTGGTTTGCCGGTCCTTCCCCTGTGCAGCTCTGACAGTGGGGTGTGTATGAAGAGCCTAATTTTGTACAGGGTGCCTCAAACCAAACCTTTAGCATGTGCACCCCTTCCCTGGAAGCTGTTACACCTTGTCCAACAGAAACATAATACGAGCCACAGACACAAGCCACACACATGATTTTAGATATTCTAGGGGCCACATTAAAAAGTAGAAAAGAGACAGGTGACAATAATTTTAATAATACGTTTTATTTAACCCAATATACTCAAAATACTATCAACTCAACATGTGCTCAGCATTTTAAAAATGAGATATTTTATATCCTTTCATTCATACAAAGTCTTCAAAACCTGGTGCGCTTTTTATACTTACATCGCATTCCATTCGGACCAGCTCCGTCTCGAGTGCCTGGCAGCCTCACGTGGCCAGTGGCCGCCTGAGGGACAGCATCCTTGGGAAGCTGATCTGAGTTGAGAGACCACGTTTTTCTGGTTAGGAAAGTCCTGCCCTCTCTTCCCCACAGCTGAATACATCTCCGGTGCCGCTTTAGCTCTGTGTGTCCCTCCAAAGAGAGATTCATAGTCGCTCTCCTTTCCAGATTCCCCACAGTCATACGAGACCTGTGGGACAGGGGTTGCAGACCAACGAGGTTACAGCTGTGACACCACACTCCTCGGTGTCTGGAGGTGATGTGGACTAGATGAAAGTTCTCCTGAGCCTGGATTTGAACCAGGCAGGCTGAGAGCCACGGGAGTCGAGGACGTGGCTGTTCAGTACGTCCAGCAACCCAGCCTCTGCCTCAGACTCACCTTTGCTGCCTGTTCTAGGGCAGACACAACAACCCTTCCAGAATGACATGTTGCTGCATTTCATCAGGGAAGAGGCTGTGGTATTGGAGAATTTGGGAGTCCATGGGCTTGTCAGGATTGAGAACCTTCATGGTTCTCAAGCTTTATCGCCTGCAAGGCCTACATATCAGAAGTACAGACCATACAACTTTACCACTCTGAAGGTTGTCCAATACTGAATGTTAGCCAACCTTGGTTTTTCACTGCTGGAGAGCAGAGAAATCACAGGTTATGCAATAATTTTGTGAGGTCTACCTGTTTGGAAAAACGGGAGGCTATAGTCAGATGGACTGATGGGGGAAAGAGTAAAGGTGAGGGCAGGGGCAGGAGGTGTAGAGTCAGACCAGGAAGGGGCAGGGGAGGCTGGATGCAGGGCCAAAACCTCCTACCCAAAGCCTGTGTTTCCACAACAGCTCTCCGTGTTTCACAGAAAAGGTCAGTCTTTAAGATCGAGGATGGTGAGGAAAGATTTTATAGGGTCACCAGGGAAACAGTAGTAGCCTAGATCTGGAAGGAGAAGAAGTATCAGAGAGCCTCCTTGGTTACTAGTCGTGTCGAGAAACAGAAGTGGTTGGAGGGCATGGTGTATACGGAAGGAAGCGAGCCACTGCCTGTCTCTCGAGGCCACGGCAGTCTTCTGCCCATGTTTTGGTGGCTGTTTTTAGAATGGTTGCTCTGCTCTTATCTCAAACCGAAATTCTAACATACTGTTGAACTTGTCGTACCTGATTGGCATCCTGACCCTCCGGAAGAATCTGACTGCAGCAGCCCGTGGGTGTTCGTGGTCAGGGCAGATGGCCACTCTGCTCGAACCGCCCCAGGATGCTTCAGCTTCGGTGGAGGCAGGCACTGTGCTCCACGTCTGGGGCAAGGACCCTAGCTCACCAGGTGAAGACAGCGCTCAGCTGTCCTGCCCTGTGCAGACAAGTGAGCGGTAGACCCAGACTGCTTAGAGATCTCAGGTTCAAAAGCAGCTCCCTCTGCCACGGGCCAGTCATTCTAACGCCCCTGAACTTCAGTTCTCTCATCTGCAAACGCCTGCCTCCAGGATCTGTGGAGATGAGACCATGTGTGTGGAAGTGTTTTCTGTGACCTCTGAGCACTTTTGAAAATAAGTGTGTTTTTACTCCAAGTGCGTTGGTGCGTCCTGAGAGTTACAGGTGCTCAGGAGGTCCACTGCGGATGCTGGGAAGGTGTGATCCAGGGAAGGACGGGGACAGGGGGTGCAGCAGCCGCTCCCCCGACTTCCGATGTCTCCTGGGTCTGTTCAGATCTTCTGGCAAAACCAGCCCGAGCCCAGTCAGCCTGGGGCCAGAGGACTAGCTCATAAGATTGAACTTGTTCTCTGCTGTCCCAAGTGTGTACAGATGTCTTGTTATGATGTGTGGTTTGCCTTCTTACCCTTTCCTGGAATCGGGCCAAGAGTGTGGTCCAGCAGGTGGGTGCTGCGGCGTCTGTGCTCGGGGCTGGTGACAGGTCGAGCTGGGCAGTGGCCGTTGCTGCCGTCGTGAGTGAAGCCCTGCAGCAGCCTGACCTCGGGTTCAGTTGGAAAAGGGGGTCCAGACCATAACTCAGGGAAAGACGGTTGTGCTCATAGGCACATGTGTGATTCTTTAGGGAAACGTTTGTTTTTGATCCATTAGTAATAGCAAAGCTTATACACAGGTAGGGATTTAGGTGCATAAATGTGCACGATTCTATAAATGTCTCTTGCTTAGTGAAGTTATATAGAGATCGTGAAGTTAAGCTTGGAATTCGAGGGTACTTCGTATGTTAAGAGACAGCCTATGAAATAGTTTGAGTTTCTCTACCTGTTACAGATACTTCATTGGAAAGCACAGCCTGCCTTTTAACCGCGAGCATGCATTCATTGTACAGTGAGACGGTTGACGCTGGCAGGCAGAGCTCTTGACTTCTCTGTATCACCCACGTCGCTTTGGGTAGCTTGTATTTATTACTCACCAAGTAGTAGGCGCATGTGCAGGCTGACCGTGAACCTTCAGCTTCTGTATCATCAACCGACGTAGATGGTCAGGAGGCAAATCCTCTTACTGCTCTGGAAGCCCAGTTAGAACCAGAGGCCCTTCAGTCTCGCAGCTTTTACTTCCTGGTGCCTGAGAGTTCCTATATTTAAGGACAAAAATAAATTCTAGAAAACTGTATTGCTTATTTTTTTAACTTAAAGATTTTAAAAATTATTTCCAACTTCGGATATAATTTAAGGTTTGATATCCTAACTCTTTCCCCACAAATCCCTATACCAGCAGGAATTCTTCTTGCTAATTATGCTTAGTAAGAGAGTTGTGACCTTTGGAGACTACCTGCGTTCGGTCACCGCAGACGCGCCAGAAAGGTCAGTTTTCTGTCTTGGCCGTACTCCTCACAAATTCCCCTCTGATCTTCCAGGAATTTGAAATGCAGAACCCTGACCGGAGACAGCAGTAACACATCAGAATTTTAGCTTGGTCCCCACTACCACCCTGCCTCACAAAGTCAGGACACATGAAAGTTCAGGTTCTCACAGTGGTGACAACCCCACAGAACCCAGGCTGGTGTGTTCTGCGTGCTTTGCAGAATTGGAGGCATCGTCGGGTTTACATCAAATGCACACCCCTTCTGCCAGTGGCAGACGTGCAGTGGTTGAGCGAGCTGAGGCTTTGGGAATGTTTGCTTTTGCTTTCTGTCTGTGCTTCCCTGGGCAAAAGTCATTTGAACCTCACTTGTCTCCCCTGTGAAATACCTGTCTCACACGATTTCCGTAGCATTAGGTGAGGTAGTGCAAGTGTGTAAAAAGACACTAAGTGTCTCCAAAGAATCAGATTCCATATTCTGCCTCTTCAAGAAAGGAGTGTTACCGTGTCTCGAGAGTGAATGGCTGGGGGTGTCGCAGCTCATCGTATTCATCCCTAGTTTAGTATTTATCAGGCTGGTGTTTGGATTTAGACGCCGTAAGGGAAGGGTTATCTTTTCTGTCTTCTCTGTGGAGCTGCAGCATCGCATCTTCGCAGCAGAAACTTGGTGACAACAGTGGCTTGAGGGTCGAGCAGGGTCTCAGGTTCCTGGGGTTTTCGTGGAGAGAAGAGGCACCAGAAATGCAGAGAGCTTGCGTTAAACCCTCCTTGCTTCATTCCACCTCCCGTCTTTTTGTGTGTGTTTTCTTTAGTTTAGTCTTCTGTACTTCCAGCTCTCTTTTTCTCTCATTTACATTTTTCTCTACTTTTATTATTAAAAAGCAGTTTTGCAAGATCAGAGCTAAGTGGGCCCTGATGTGCTCTGTCCTGCTTCCAGACAAAGATGCACATACACGACTCCTGAGGACTCTGCAGTCGCAGAAATGAGAAATATGTGGAAAACGTGTATTGCGTTTTTCATAAGACTCTTCACTTATTCAACTTAAAAACCTATTTTTTAGTCTTAGACTGTGTCGTCCTTGCGTTTTTGGGGTGGAACTGTTCTTTGTAAAATGATGTTGTAGTAGATGGTAGAGAGGGGATGTTTTTTTGTTTGTTTTTAAAATGACCTTATTTGGCAAAATGAAAAGTACAGTACACATATTCCCCGCAATTTTTCTTTAAATGTTGACAATGCAGGAAATGTAAAAGTTGCGGAAGCCTTGACATAAATGTGCTGAAGGCTGTGTGCAGTCTGCTCCGGGTGGGGAAGTTTCCTTCCCGCTCACCTCGGGTGCAGTGAGAGCTGCCCCGTCAGCGCAGGGCCTGGGGGGCTGCACTGACTCTGCCCAGGAGGAAGCAGCTCTCTGATCTGAGCGCACCCTCCAGAGCCTGCACCCAGAGAGGACACTCCACCCATAGGCTTTTTTTTAAGACATTCTTTTCTGAGGGAAAAAACCCCTAAGGGTGCTGGCCTTTCCTGGTCTTTTTCTCCTTTGCTTTCCTGTATACATACCGCACACACGTGCACACACACGTGCACACACACGTTCATACTCTCATGAGGGGCAGGAGAGGTGGCCTGGATCTTGTGGCTGTGCTGTCAGCGCAGCCTGGTCTGGCACTGCTGGCTTTGGGGTGAGCCCAGCTGCCCCCCGAGGTGCTGGGCCAGACCTCCCACAAGCAGAGTCCCTCCCAGCAGGACAGGACCGCCTCAGACCTCCCAACAGTGGGGACCACAGCCTCCAGGTCTTGCCGTCTTGGAGTGAGAAGAGATTGTCCAAACGCAAAGAGTGAGCGTCGTGTGGTGCGGCTTGGCTAGGTTCATCCAGCATCCTTTCCCGAAGGTCAGGGACACCCAGCTGGTCCTGCTTTGGGCGTCTGGATGGAGAGGGCGGACTGGGACGCACTGCCCAGTGGGGAGGGCCAGCACAGACTGGGGAGGAGGAAGAAGGGGACAGTGGCACAGCTGCCGGGCTGTGTCCCAGCCCCACGGAAGGGCGTCTCTCGCCCGGCCCCCGTGCTCTCGGCGATTGTCGGCAGCTCCACACTGGCAGCCACACGCACGTGTCGGCACGCGTCCTTTTGGACGCGCCCAGGTGGCTGTCCTCCGGCAGAGCTTGACCGCGTGTCTTTGTGTGGAAGTAAAGGTACAGCACGAAGAGCAGGAACAGGGAACCGGCGTTCAGGGGAAGCCTGTGGCGGATGTGCTTCCCTCTGGTCTTCTGCTTTGATCCAGGGTTGAGCAACGTGCGGCCCGGAGCCCCGGGTATTTCCCACTGTGGAGGAGGGGGTGTGATGGCCGGGCCAGGGCTTATGTCACGAGCTTCCCTGGAAATAACCTACCCCAAGAGCACTGAGCGCACCTGCCTCCTGGCTTTCCTTGGAAGAGGCACTTCCAGGAGTGTCTGTCCGGCTTGGTCTCGTGTCCGGTCTTGCCCATGAGTCAGGTTTCGAGGTGGGGCTCCGAGCGGGCCCTCCGTGGGCATCATTAAGCTCCTGGGCCGGAGCCCTTGTCCCAACACAGCGATGGGCAGGAGCCATCGGTGGGTTTTTCCTGGACTTGACGCCTGATGCAGACAGAGCCGAAAGAGGAGAGGCTGGGGGGAGACCCTCCTCACAGCTCCCTTGTCGGGGGGCCCCTCGCACACACGCTCTGGGCTCCGGCCACTTTAGACGTTTCCCTGCTGACCACACCCCACCTCAGTCTCTCGTGCTGAGGTGTGGCAAAACTGACCCTTGAACCCAGCACCACGCCTTATTTAGGACCTGGGTTTCATCCTGCGTGTGATTTTGGACATGCAGGCGTGAAAGGCGGACAGAAGAGGTTCCCACCCTGGGGTTTCAGTAAAGGGGCTCACTTGTCGTCTCTGTAAGGTGTCGGTGGCCTCCCCAGGGCCGACAGGTCCCGGGGACAAGCCACCCGCCTGGCGTAGCCTCCACAGTGTGTTCCGAGGCCGTCCGTGCTCCCCACGCGCTCAGGCCGTCGTCTCTCGTTTCCTGCTTCGCTCTTCCTTTGCTTGGAGGGTGTTCTTCCCACCTGTCTCATCTCAGACACAGCTCTCCTGGGCCAGAAAGAGCCCCACAGAGCACAGGCTAGAGCATGGGCTGCAGGCGTGGAGAGGCCTCTTGGGAACCCTTGGATACTGCAGTGTGGCCAGCCTAGGGTACGGAGGCCACTAGCCTGCAGTTGAGATGAGCCTGGGTCCTGGGCGAACTGCCTAGCCCTGGACCTGCAGTCAAACCTGCCCACCCTCTGGCGTGTCTGCGTGGGATACCACGAGGCAGAGGGTGGACGGGCTGCCTGTAGCCACTCCTCGGCCACATGAGTGGCTCAGTGTCTTTAAAACCGTTGCACTTGTTAATATCAGGTAGACAGTGCTTGGCTGTAAATAGCAGAATATCTGATTGACAGTGTTTTAAGTTATAAAGACATTGATTTACTTCACTCCCTGCCCAAGAAGCCTGGGGTGGGTGCTCCAGGTCTGGGCAGCAGCTCCTGGAGCCCCCTTCCACCCCGGAGGCCTGCCACCTGTGGTCGCAGAGCGGCTGACGCAACTCTGGGCATGAGCCACTTCCCAGTCCCCTGGCAGGAAGCCTGGGGCAGAGATGCCCTTCCTTTTATCAGGAGGGGCCCCCAGCCCACAGCCTCCCCTTTACTTCTCTGTGGCCGGAACTGGAGGGAAGACGGGCCTCCGAGGGACTGGGAACTGCTGCCCCGACAGCCTCAGGGTGACAGAGGAGACCCCCTCAGCCCCAGCACTTCCCAATCATCAGAAGAGTTCACCGCCAGCTCCGCCTGCTGAGAGACAGGATGGGCGGCTCTCCCCGCCCTGGACCGTCACTCCTGCCTGTGCACGGGCAGCCTGGCCTCCAGGGCCACACCCTCCGCCCCTCCCTGCTCTGCTGCCTGGCCTTCCTGGCTTCTGCCTCACAGCCCTGCTCCGAGGAGGTCTCCTCGGATTTCAGGATCACAGCAGGAATCTTTCCTTGCCTGTTTTACAACAGGTCGGTTGGGGGAGTAGCGTCGCGGCACCCTGCTTACTTTGTACGTTTACACCTGGAGCGTTTGCCCCTGGGAAAGTCAGCAGAAGCACCCCTTGCCCTGCTCTATAGTCAGGGTTCAGGTGAGAGTCTAGAGTCTGCGGGTGGGAGCCTGGCCCCTCCACACATGGCGGCATCAGGCCTGCCACTAGAGTTTCCTCTGTGCCAGCTGCCCTAATCTAGCCGGGCACCGGCACTTAGGTTGCTGAGTTTCCTCTGCAGTCGATAGCTGGCTGAGTTGGTTTGTCCCACCACCTGAATTTCCCCATTCTTACTGGATTCATTCACCCTGACATGAGACAGCAGACCTAGTTTGTGTGGCTGAGAACCACATTTTATTCAGCTCTGAATCTCTTGCATCTTAGCAGAGTCCCTGCTAAATAATCAGTACTCAGTAGGTGTCGTGACTTTAGTCCATGGGCATCTTTAGGTGTTTTGCTGCATTATAAGCCATTCAAAGGCAGGAGACATCGAAAAGCACGTCCTCTGTAGTTCCCCTCAGAGTACGTGTACTTAACCCACCTACCCATCTAGAACGTGCTGGTGCACACAGCTGGGCAGGAACCAGGGACAGGGGAAGGGGGTCCTATAAAAGCCGAGGGTCAGGAGAAAAGATCATGGTTTCATCTTCATGCAGGACCTCAGAGTTTGCAAAGCACATTGTTATATGTTTCTTCGTCCCAGCCTGTGACACATAGCTCCCACTTTCTAAGTGAGGTTAAGGGAAGCCAGGTGATATTCCCGAAGTCCCATACCCAGTGAGGCCGAGCGGGACTGGAGCAGCAGTTCCCCTTCCCCGGCCTGGAGGACGGGCAGACAGGACCTATCCACAGACGGTCAGAAGTGAACTGGCTTTAGGGCTCAGGGAGCCCACACTGGGTGGGCACCTCCCTCGCCTGGGTGGCTGGTAAGCAGGTCACGGTACTGCTGAGTGTTGAGGGACCCAAACCGACCATGGGGCTGGGCAGGACCCACCCCCCAACAAGTCAGTGGCAACTGTGTGTTTCAGGGATCCCTTGCAGAGAACTTCTGACAATTCCAGCGGATGGGCTGCCCTCCCAGACCTCAGCGGTGTGGGTCGGATTCAAAGCCGAGGCCGTTCTAGCCCCGGTCGGTGACTGGGGTCTGAAGCTGTGAACTCAAGACCTTTACAATAAACCTCAGTGGAGTTTTCTTTTCATCGTGTGTTGAGTACAGCACAGAGATGTCACGTCTCTCCTTTTTCCTCACCCCAGGACAAGGCATTTCAAGGAAAGTATTCAGTTCATCCACGAGTGCCGCCTGCGAGGTGAGGGCTGCCTTGTTCACTGGTACGTGTGCCCTGCCGGGCGGCCCCTGGCCTGTTCTGCTTGCCTCCCCCAAACGCCCAGTGCACACCCCACCTGACCCCACCTGCCTGTTGGTCGTCCTTTGCTTTTGTGCAAAGAGAACCGTACATTTTTTCTTTCCTTTTCACTTAGGATTTTCATTTTCTCAGTCAGGTTTCTGCAGGGACTGTTGAGGTCACGACACAGAAACTCCTTTTCCAGCCTTCCTCCGAGATCCCGACAGAGTATGGGCTCTGTCCGGTGCCCGTTCAAAGCACTGCTTCTTGCCGGAGAGTTTAGGTTGCACGTGTGGGTGTCACACCAAAATGACCATTTCTTCTCAGTTTATAGATTGGAGCTTTTATGTGTTTGGGGCTTATACTTTGCTTTAAAGGGAACTGAATAGACGCCTAGAATTGAGCAGTTCCTATGCAGCTCTCCACCTGCATTCAGCTGCCGTCTGCATGGTACACACACATACACCTGTGCACACATCGTGCACAGAAAGCTGCTCTGAGACACAGAACTCAAGCACGGTGCCCCGCACCTGACACGTCGCAGGCACTCAGGGAATGTGGGCCCTCGTTTCATCGCTGCCCATTTTCATTTTACTTTTAAAAAGAGCAGGACATGTGATGAACACAAAGTGCAGGTTTTGTGACATTTGCTTCAAAACGCTTTGCGGCGCAGAGCCGTTTCAAGGGGCTCTGGAGTCCTGTGCCTGGTGAGAGCATCTGCCCGGGTGCAGCCCAAGAGTATGTATGTTTTTTAACGCTCTCTCAGTTTTTCTGATACGCAGGAAGAACCGCTACTTGAGAGTGGTTTTTTACTGTTATTATTATTTATATTTGAATATGTGCAGGCCTGATGTTCTAGGAATTTGTATCTCATACAGTTGTGTCAATCTGAAGATAGGCTTTTCTAAAAATGAGAAATTTGCTAAACTTCCCCATCTTAAACCGTTGCTGAGCACTCCAAGTCTGACGCAGCACAACCTCTCTGTGACTGCCTTAATTTGCATGTGCATTTAAAATCGGTCCCTTACTCAGCCTGTGAGAGAAAATTGACCGTTATGGCCTGCAGAGCGTGCCCACGCTGGCACTCTGCTTATGTATGTGAAGAGGATCACAAAATATTTGGTAAGGGCTTCTGTATTTAATGAGTTTTTTAAGTTATAGACTTGGCCCTTATATCCCTAAGAAAACCAGACTCTAAAAACGTGAAGCTGTCTGAACGGCTGCAGATTATAACTGGGTTTGTTGCTCAGATCCTGGACCCCTCCAGTCCCTGGATGTCCTTTAGTTACTTTATCTGTCCAGGGAAACGGGGACTATCTGAAGAGGAGCTCAGGAGCAATAGGGAATCAGACAGTGAAGTGTCCGGAGACACAGCCAGTAGAAAACCAATAAAAAAATGAGGCTACACAGGTAAAGGATGCCTGAGATTCTAGTGTCATAAAGGAGAGAGAGCTGGTATGTTCTGAGTAATTTCCTAGTAACGTGCTGGCTTGCTGTGCACTCGCACTCCAGGGCAGGCAGGCTTCCGCAGTGAGCCTTCAGAGTCCCCGACCCTCCCTTGCCTGTGTGGTTCTTGGCCCTGCAGCCTGGCCGGCGTCTCCAGGAGTGTGACTCTGGTGGTCGCATACATCATGACGGTCACCGACTTCGGCTGGGAAGATGCCCTGCGCACTGTGCGTGCGGGGAGGTCCTGTGCAAACCCCAACCTGGGCTTCCAGAGGCAGCTGCAGGAGTTTGAGGAACACCAGGTCTGTCAGGTGAGCGTGCTTAGGGGCTGGGAACACACCTCCGTCTTTCCGTGCCCGCCTAGACTTGTGGAGGCTGGAAAGGCCCCCAGAGGTCGGCTGGTCCGAGGACACCCCTTCAGCCCCTCTGCAGTATCACTGGCCACTCGTCCACCAGCCGCTGCGGTCATTCCCTTTTCCCACTGTCCTCAGGCCCCATGTTAGTTTCTGTTTCTCTGCCTTGGGGTCAAGTACCGTTTCCTTGGTCAGGCTTGCTTTCACGTTCTCAGGCCAGAACCTGGAAGAAGCAGTCATTTCTCTTGCTAGACACTGGCTGGCCAGCCTCAGAGCTGACTGCCCGATGCCCCTTGGCCCCCTGTTCATAGGGGCAAACCTACACCATCAGGTAACAGGTGGGAGTGTAGGGGATGAGCTGTGTGACGTCCTGGTTTGTTTCACTTCTCCAGTTCCGCCAGTGGCTGAAGGAGGAGTACGGAGAGAGCCCTTTGCGGGATGCAGAAGAAGCCAGAGGCATTCTGGGTAAATACAAAGAGCAGGGGCGTGCGGAGCCCCCGCCTGGCGCCAGGCGCTGGGGTGGCCTCCCGGCCTCACCTCCTCTGGCCTACGGCAGCTGCACCACGGAGACCTAGCTGAGCCCTTGGCGCCCCTGCCCGCGGACAGGAAGGGGTGTCCCGGTGGATCCAGGCCCCCCCCGAGACCCCAGCAGCCCCACTCCCAGCTTCTGCGCCGCAGGCTGGGGAGTGTGCACGCGCGCGCTCGTGTGTGTGTGTGTGTGTGTGTGTGTGAGCGTGAGTGCTGGATGTGCGCGCTGCGGGAGCTGCCGTGAAAGCCACACTGCCGGCGTCGGCCTCACTGCCTTTCCCCGTGCGAGGTCTGCTGGAAGGCACTTGGAGGTGGCCGTGGAGGGCCCCCTGCTGCAGCCGGCCCTGCCCAGGCCAGCCCTGCCTTTCCGCGCCCTACTCGGTGGTGCCTGCCTGAACCGCCTGCCCTTGGGTCGTGTGGGGAGCACCCTAGACGCCCGCCCTCGGCCCCCGTCCAGCTTCCCCTCCTCCCAGCCCCCCGCTGCTCTCACCCTGGGGGCCTCGTCACAAGGCTTGCATGCACCTTTGGGATTTGGGAAGAAAGAGCATCGTTAGGCACTGTCACGGTTTGCGCTTAAAAATACATTTAAAATGCCTGAGCACTTATTAAGCGCCTTCGTGTCTGCTGTGGTTTTGGGATTTGATCTCAGCTACCTCATGAAATGGTTTTTGAAAAAGTGTTTTTCATTATTCCAACCAACTCTGCCTCATGGGTGAAAGCGTTTGGTCACGATGGCTTTTGAAGCCAACGGGAAAAGGATCGTATCATTGGGCCACTCGAAGCTTCTGATGCGGGCTTTGGGGGTGCCTTGTGGTGGGTAAAGCCGAAGTCAGGCCAAGCCGGGGGCCAGGCTCCACGCTCGTGCGGGCCGCAGATGTGCAGCAGGAAAGGAAAGCGCAGCCGCGGAGCTCCTCACCTACAGCCACAGCAGTTTGCTCTAAAGTAATGTTCTCCTTAAACCAAAAAGAAATGTAAATATGTTAACAGAAGTATTTAGGAGTCAGCTTGAAGGCTTAAATGCGGGTACAATGTGAACGCCTAGATCTGTTCCTGTAACCTGGAATGTTGTCCTAATATCGGTCGCCAGTAACATTCTTTCTCCACAGCCACCCCAGGGATTCTGAAGTACTGGGCCTCTCTCAGAAGACTGTAATGTACCTGAAATATTGCAAAGCCAGAGTTTAGGTGCTGCCCAGAAGAAAAGCAGTCAGAGTTCATTTTTCAGTGTCCAGAAGTAATTTGTGAACGCACCTGTTTTCATTTTAAACAATACATATGCAGTTGTGTCATCATATGTTGGGAACTACGCGTCCTCTTTGACAAGGGAAGGATTTTTGCCTAATTCCCCTGCTGTGGCTCCTTCTTCGCCCGTAGCCCTGCTGCCCCCAGGCCATCTCAGGGCCCTGCTGCCCCACCCGGTGACCATGTGGTGATCGCGGTTGCCACTCCTGAGGGCCCTGCTGGGCACACCTGCCCCTGGGGACTGTCTCCTGGCCTGTTTCGTCCTGGGGTCTCGCCTCCACCACACGTGCGTGCATCTGAGGTGAAGGGCAGCTGCACACGCTGCGCCTGCCCTTAGCTGGGGTGTGGATCCCACTTGCTCCCACGGGCGCCACGAGGCACGTTCAGAGGCTGCCCCTGGCAGTGATGCTGCTTTATTTTAAGGCCACTGCCATCCTCCAGAAGGAGAGTAGTGACGGCAGGAGACGTGAACTACTTTCCCTGGGAGAGAAAGCGAGTCCCCTGCTTGAGCAGAGGGAAGTCCGGGGGGTGCGCAGGGCCATCTCCCAACTCCAGTCTCAGCTTCAATGTGAAGGACAGTAGCTGGTGTGAAGAGCAGTTTAAGTTGATTTCCCAGCGTTCTCTCGTCTAACTCACTCCAGTGGGGGAAGAAGGAAGTGTAACGTTCTACTTAAAGGAGAGGTCTGACGGGACCACGGGAGCTGAGGCGCGTGGGCTCAGTGGCTGAAGGAGGCTTGACCTGTGTGCTGCGTCTGCAGCGCCTGGACGCTCCTGGCAAGGGCTCGGGGCAGGACACTTTGTGCCAAAACGGCCCCTGATGGGTGTGGGGTGACGGGCACCACAATGCTTGTTCTGACTTAACAGGCCTACCTGGGTGAAGAACAGGTGATCCAGGTGGAGGTGCCAGTCCTCGAGGCCCCGAGGTGTCTCCACTGCCCACCTGTGAGGGCGCGCCGGGGGGCGCGAGGAAACAGCACGAGGGACGACGGCCCCAACCCTGTGGGCTCCCCTACCCCTCGTGGCACCCACGACAATCACCCAGTAATCGGTGCTCTGCGGGTCACGGACTATCACCTTGAAGCCGTATAAACCCACAGAGAAGGTATTATTTCATTCACTTGAGGCTCAGAGAGGCCAAGAAACACACCGAAAACTAAAAACGTTAGTGCTGCTTTGCCTGAACCCAGGTTTTGATCTCAAATCAGTGTGCGATGTGAGAGGGAGGGGCAGAGTGCCCTGGGCTTTGCACTTCGAGGTTTGTGAGGCTGTAATGCCAGGGCCCCTGGGAGAGCCAGCACCACTGCCTTGTGCACGGCTGTCCAAGCCAAAGCCAGCACCGCTGCCGTGAGCACGGCTGTCCGAGCCAAAGCCAGCACCGCTGCCGTGTGCACGGCTGTCCGAGCCAAAGCCAGCACCGCTGCCGTGAGCACGGCTGTCCGAGCCAAAGCCTCTGCCCGCTCCCCCCAGTCTCTCTGGGGGTTTTGTTTGGGGCCATGGTGGGTGGTGGCCAAAAGCACACGGACGTTTCCGTTAGATGGTATTAACCGTGCTTAGATGTTAGAGGCAGAGGCCCCTTCTCCGAGACCAGAGCAGGTGTTCAGGTCACATGGACGTGGGGACGGTGAACCCCCCCGTCCCAAGGGCCTTGCCTTGTTAGAGGAGGGGGTCGTAGCCCTGGCAGTTTCTTTAGGCTGTCTTTTCTGTGATGTTCTTTGAACACAGGTCTGTCCAGCCTGGGTCTCAGGATCGTGGCCCATGGTGGAAGAGACCTGCACTGCCTCTCTTCATTCAGTCATTTGCCAGTTTGCTTGAGAAATGCTTATTCATCCCAGCTGACACTCTGGGACTCAGGCAGGGTGCACAGACCCACCCCTGATTCTCAGAAAGACTAGCTTGGTGGGGTTGGCAGTTAGGAAAACTGGCGGTTACAGAGCCGGCCATAAGCACTGGTATAGGTGCCCCTGGTGCTGTGTGTGGGGAAGGCACAGAGAGGCCATTCCAGTTTGGGTGAGAGAGGTCGTGTCCCAGGACGGCATCTCGGAGGAGGTGGTACCTAATCGGGGCCTGAAGCATGAGTGCTGGAGTTGGCTGGCACAGTGGGTGCGGGGGAGTCCAGGCAGGGGCCTGGCATGCGCGCAGGAGAGGCCACAGTCTCTCTGGGTGACCAGAGCAGGCACAGGGGTGGGCGCTGATGAGAGGTGCAGACAAAGCTGCAGAAACAGGCAAAGGCCCAGGCTTTCGCTCTCTGCTTGGCACAGTAACTGGTTTCCTTCTCACACCAGCCCTGGAGCTGACCAAGCTCAGAGGGCGGGTGCCCTGCAGCTTCCCGCAGTCTGGTCCCCAGGCGTGGAGCCTTGCAAGCGCGTGGACGCCGTTTTGCAGGCGCGGAGTGGGGCTTGCCGAACGTGCTGGGCAAGCAGGCACCGTGACGGTGCGGGGGAAGGGGGCCCACGCTGGGGGCCTGTCAGGAGGCAGCAATCACGGCCATCCAGGCGACAGTCGTGGCGCCCAGAGCGGGGCTTTGGTGCGGAGGCGAAGGGGCTTGCGGGAGCCTGGGGAGGGGGAGGCCATTGCTCCCAGGACCAGAGCCCGTGAGGGGCTTGCTTCCCTGGCGATGGCTCTTCCCACACCAAGGTGGGGTGTGGACTCTGGCACGTTGAGGGCAGACTGAAGGGGCCGCTGGCCAGAGGCGTCCACGGGGCTCACGCCCTGCTGGCACCCAGCTTCGCGTACCGGGGGCTCAAGTCTGTCCACAGACCCGGAACAGACTCCCAGGCACCATACTTGCGACAATTCATGTCCAATCCAAATGTCCAATTTATTAATTTATTGTGAAAGATAAAACATTAGCTTTATGAAGACTAATTTTATCCCCTAACTAGGCTGTCTTTCATTATCAGATTTTTGGAAGCCAACATGCTGTACACCTTAACTTACACAATGTTATATGTCAGTTATATCTCAATAAAGCGGGAAAAGAAAAGGAGTAAAGCACCTTGTAAATTAGTCCTGCGATATCTCCCTACGCTCCTGGAAGTGGGGCTGAGACCTGGGGGCGGGGTGTCCTGACAGGCGTGTCCAGAGAGGCGTGCTGTTGCCATCGCGCCCTGGAGCATTTCTGCAGCCTGCAGCCTCCTATGTCCCCGTCCACGTTCTCAGCAGCCACCCTGGTCTGCGCTCCCTCTGCCTGAGCTGGTTCTCTGACTTAACTCACGTCTCTCAGAGCAACTCTGTGAACCTTGGGCTTCCCCCTGGAGATAGGTTCCCCCTGGGGGCTTTTTTATGTATGGGGTGCTGATTCTCTCCAGCTTCCGTCTCAGCAGGGGACCCCACTTCCAACTTCTGGGGCTGCTTCCTGTTGCTGGTGCATGAGACAGCCTACAGATTCCAGGGACTGCTGTGCATGCGTGTGTGTGCACACAGCTGTGTTCTGTTGTTTTTAAATTTTATTTTAGAGGACTCCTTAGCCTTCAGGGGAGCCATGTGGGCAACGTCAAGGGGCATTGGGACCTTAGGCAGCAGAACCTGGGCGCCCAGGGAAAGTCAGAGCTGGTCACGACAGGCTGCCCTGCACACCAGCATCTAGTCTTGAAAATAGGGAACATGCTAAGACTCAATACCCTGTGATCCCACATTAGGTGACCCCTCCCATCCTGACGCTGCGTTATTAATAATTTTATCGAGAATGTGCTTTCAACATGCTTGTATTTATAGATGTACTTAAGAAGAAATCACCAAGACTTGGGAGGGAAGTTCCTCTTCCCTTTCCTTTTTATTGCCCAGAGAAAGGGAGGGAAAAAGAAACCAAAAAAAAAACGGCCTTTGACTTGTTCCCGGAGGCTTGAGAACGTTCACCGTCCCTTCTGAGGGTTTACTGGGGTCTCGCTGGGCCCCCAGCTAGGACACCCAGGCTGTCAGGTGCTTGAATCTGGTGACAGCAGCTGCATTTCACCGGGACACTTTGCTCTCTTGCTTCCCCCCAGCTGCAACAGTGGGACGTGATTATCGCAGCCAGTATCAGAATTCGCGTTCCCTTCTGCAGCCTGGGCTCCGCCACCTCGCCGCGAGGCCGCGGGGCCGCTCTGGGCTCACTGTCGGGGAAGCGTTGCCATCCGCGGCTGCAGGGTGTGTGAAGGGCTCTGGCGGCCTTGACTGAGCACAGGCCGCCGGTGTTCTGATCCCGGCGGTGTGCTGCGTCTGTGGGGAAGGGATCGGACCTGAGAACATCCTTTATACCAAGGCCTGTGTAGGAAAACTAGATGGGGCAGGGGGGCTGGTTCTGGGGGAGGACGATCCCTTCTAGTATCGATAGTTCGGGACAGTTTTTGGAAACAACGCTGACCACGCCAAGTGCGTTTTGTGAGCTCGACCCAGGGAGACACATCAGCTCATGGGGGTCGGGGCCTGGCCCCCCGGACACTCTCACGATGAGCACGTGTGTGATGGGACCTTGATGTGTGTGTCCCTCCGGCCACAGAGAGGGACAGAGTCCACTTGCCCCCAGACGTGGCCAGACCAGCACAGACTGGAACCGTGCTTTCTGGCGAGCGGCCCTGCCTGTCAGTCGGCTCTGGGTTTCCCCAAGGCACTGATGGGAGCCTTTTTGGGAAATAATAATCGAAAGGCCTCCATGTGCCCCAGAGAAATGTCACCTGCTTTGCAAAGGGTGTGCCCTTCACGGCAAGAGGCCACGGGCGCCCAGCTTCCTCAGAGGGCATCCAGAGAGGCCCGTCCCGGCTCTGCCGGACGTTCCATTCCCCTTGGTGTGTGTGTGAAGCATGCGGATGCCAACAGGAACAGCAGGACGGTGTGAGATCAGGTGTGTCTCAGGTGTGCTGCGCGGTGGGCCATTCCCGCGGCACGAGAGCCCCTCCTGAGTCATCCGCTGCTGGGAGCTCGGAGCTGCGGGTACCGATGCGCAGCTCGGGGCAGAGGTGGTGCTGGGCCGGGAGAGGGCAGCCGAGGCCTGGGCCCATGGCCAGGTGGCCTGGTAGAAGTCCACTGCGACCCCAGTTCCCTGGAACACCTTGGGAGCCCCCGAGGAGGCAGCCCACTCCGTGGGGACTTCTTCTCAGACCCGCCTGAAAGAAACTCCCTGGGAGGGGTGAGCGGGCTTGGCCGGCACCCTGTTTGGTGGCGCAGAGGTGTAGCCAGAGCCCACCTTGCAGCCCCCGGGGTGGCCCCTTATGGTCTAGGAAGGCCCCTTTGGCCCCCCTCCCCCCATCTGGAGGACAGGACAGGCAGCCTCTGGACGGTCAACAGTCACTGAGCACTTAGTGTGTGATGTTCCCGAAAGCGCATCCTCTCGACAATCTTGTCACATAGGTTTTACTTTTATCCCCAATTTTGAGATGAAGAAACTCTAGAAATTCTAGAGAACTTGACTGTTGTCCAGTGTTGGGCCAGGAAGTGGCAGAGTGAGGCCTGGAGTCCGAGCAGCCTGACCCACTGCGCTAAGGTCGCCGCTTCCTTGTAAACGCCAGCACCGCTGGGGCAATGCCAGGGGGTGCGGGCATCCACGCTGGAGTTCTCTCCTGAGGTCGGGGCCTCGTGGGGAGACAGGAGGAACACAGGTGAGGCACGAGGGAAGCCTTTCTTCTTTCCACCACATCCCCTTGCGTGGGCGCTGTGTCCACCATACGTGCCTCCACCAGGCCTTCCTGATACTCCCAGGGTGGCGGGCAGAGTCCTGGGGTGTCGTGGCGCCCCAGGAGGCCCTTTTCAGGAACACGGAATTGGACCAGAGTGGGGTTGGTGCTGGGAGCCCAGCACCCGAAGCAGATGGTGTTCTGTCCTTGAGGTGCAGCGTTACACAAGTTGAGGGGCTCCGGGGTGGGGGGGTTGTGCAGGAAGCCCAGGGATTTGCTGTTATTCAGCTCAGATAACTCAGTGGAGACTCATCAAGGACAGAGGCAGGGGAAGCAACAGTGTGTTGAAGGAACAGGGGGCCTCCTTCTGACTTTGGGGCTGAGGGCAGGGCTGGGGGCAGGGAGGCAGGGCAGGTCTTCAAGAAGGACGGGAAAGCTGGGGGCAGAAGAAGTTTCCCATCCTGTGTCCTGTCCTGACTCCCCAGACCCAATGGGATGCTGGCTGGCAGGGTATTCTGCTCGCTGTGGGCCAGACTCCTTCCTACAGGCAGCCCTGGCCCTCAGCATGGGTGGGACGGAGAGTCCGTGATAGGAAGAGGAAGTACCACCGGCTTCCAGGAAGTATCAGTGTCAGCAGCTGATGCTAAAAGTGGGTCTGAGAGAGGAGCCTGGGTTCTCCTCCACGCTTTGTCCCAGAAGCATGCTGTCGGAGGCTTGGCCTGTGACTCACCGCTTTCATCTTTAAAACGCATCCTAGAAGCATCTATTCCTGCCAGTGTGCCCAGTGTGCCCCCCGATCTGTACTTTCCGTGGCCCATCTGGAGGAATGACACCCTCCAAGGGAAGGCCAGCAGGGTCGGGTGGCCTCTGACATCTGCTATGAACTGTGCCCCCCTGCGAAGGGCGGGGGAGGATGGACTGCGTGCCTCAGTCAGGCCTCAGTGCCCAGCTCACGCAGGCGCCCAGCAGCTCGCGCAGGCCGCCATGGGGGAGGGGAGGAGCCAGGCTTGGCGGCCCTGCCTTCAAAGGCTTTTTAACTGAGTTGGGGAGAGGGGGCAGTCACTCCGGAATGTCCTGTGAGCAAATGCTGAGCTAGAAGCATAAATGCAGGCCAGGAGGCCCCTGCAGTGGAGGGTGCGCTGGCTGGGGCTGGAAAGGGAGGGGAGTCAAGGGCCTGCTGGGCGGAGGGCGAAGGAGGGGGGCGGCACGGCCAGGTGCACTTGGAAGCAGATGTGCAGGGCATCTGGGGGCCTGGCTATGACTGGCAGGCAGGATGGGCTGGAGGCGGGGGAAGAGCTGTGAGGGAGGGCAGGCGTCAGCCCGATGGAAGTAGTGGCGGGCAGTGCTGGTTGGGGTTCCCCAGAGGCAGAGAGGGTCAGGCGCCAAAGGTGACTGGCGGGTAGCACCTGTAACGGGCGGGGGAGGAGGCTGGCGGGGCCGGGGGCTATCAGGCCGGGGGCGGTACGGCGGCCCCAGAGAGTGGCCCGAGCCTGGCGGCGCTCACCGTCCGTCCGCACAGGCTGGGGCGGCCCGGCCGCTCTCCGGGGTCCTCAGGTGCTGCAGTGCGACCCTGCAGAGGTACTTCTGCACAAGGGTTTCCCCCGGCAGGGCCGCCGAAATGCTTCAGGCGCGCTCCAGACTCCAGAGCTGGAGCTTCCAGGCAGCATGGTCACCAGGTGCCCCTGGCGACCTGAAGTCCCCTCCCCGCCCCCAGGTGCGGCACCAGGACTTGGGGGATCCCTTCTGCCCCTCCTCACAGCCATCCCTCCAGGGGGGCAGCAGGGCCTCAGCGCTCCCAGTGCAGGAGATGTGGAGACGCACTGGCCACAGAGCATTTACTACAAATAACTTTTTGTAATAAACAACTAAACGTTGATCTGTCTACCCAGAGCCAGCAATCCTAAACCATTCCAGTGCGAAAATACTCCTCCCCCACAATTTCTTTGGTTGATCCAAGTCTAAATAACGGCTGTGTCTGCTGTAGAGTCTTAATAATATTACATCACCTTTAGATGTGGGTGTTTTTATTACGTCATCTTTAATTAACGATGTTTTCTACACGATGTGAATGTAGAGAACCCCAGTTAACAGGCAGCACTGGCGCAGAGGGAATCAGCTAGGCTTAGCTCTGCCTTTTTCTTTTTCACTAAATTCAGAAAGACTTGGAATCCGAGCCCCATGGGGGCAGTTTGGTCTCCAGCCTGCAGAGTAGATTTGAAATAACCAAGGGCAGCCCCTGTGTAACCACCTGAACATTTACTTGCCTTTACAATTTTGGGGCTGGAGAGATATTTGAAAGCTACCAGAATTGGTCCCAAAGACGCATAGACATGCTATTTATGGAATTTGATGTGAAATGGGTTTTCTATAAATCTCTCCCAATCTTATGCTTTTAAAACTTCTCCTAACTATTTGTATCGATATATCTGTTGCTTAACATGAAAGAAATTTTTCAAAATTAAAATAAAGCAAAAGAGGTCTGTGATCAATGATGAGTGAAGATAGATTGACAAATCTGACATAAAGAGAAGTTCGGTTCTCCTTATGTTTATTTGTTAACTTTTGCAACAAATTTGCAAAAGTTAAGGCTTTAAAACAAATTGTAATTATTCATTAATGTGACAGACCAACATATAGGTACATATGTATTTCCCCAATTTTCAAACTATGCTTTATTGCAATTGAAAAGTATTAGTCCATGACTTTTTTCTTCTTTTTACTCTGATATTTATTTTATTTTTGTTCTCATTTATTTACTGGAGCGATAAGTATAAAATTCAACAAGAACATTTTTAACAGCATGTGTTTATGTTCTGTCCCGTATTCTTTTTTGTTTAATTCCGTGACCATTACTGGCTGTCACACAGAGAACCCTGGTGTCATGTATGCTGTGTGGACCTGTGCTCACAAGCTCCCTAGGAAACACTGAGGCCCTGAAGCCCACTGGTTTTACTGCAGCCTATGTGCGTGGGTCTCCCGACCCCATTCTGATTTGGTTTTTCCACATTTCCTAATACCCGAGACTTCACTAATCTGTTTCTATTTCATTCTCTGTAGAGGCACAAGTGAAAAGAGAATGAAAATTCTCTGATTTTTCAAATGTTCATTTTTTCTGGTCCTTTTTTCAAAGATAATTGAAGATGATTATTGTTATTTGGGGGGACCCTCGGTGAGAAAGCTGCTCTATGTTTCCTGTGCAGTGTTCTCCTGTGGGTGTCCCTTCCATTAAGAGGCTCACATATGAGAATCCACACTTCACAAGACGTGGGCAGAGGCTGAAGCACCCCCCTCTCCCATCAATGTGTCTTTAAATTGCCGTCTCTCCTAGTGCATTTCAGAGACTCAGATATATAATAATTCTACAAACATACAACTTATTAAGACTGTCTCCTCTATTGCAAAAATCACGATGTTCCTCTGTTTGGAGAGGGACCTAATTTAAGTGTTTGTGAGATTTTGATGAATCCCAGTCATAAAGCATGCCCTTCTCCTGTGCCAAAAATCACCAAGTGCATTTCTTTCTTTTTTTTCTACTGAAGTTTAGTTGATTTACAATATTGTGTTAGCTTCAAGTGTACAGCAAAATGCCTCAGTTTTACGTACTTTTTTCACATTCTTTTCCATTGTAAGTTATCACAAGATACTGAGTGGAGCTCCCTGTGCTGCACAGTGAATCCTCGTCGCTCACCAAATGCATTTCTCAGGTGGGAGTGCCAGCCTCGGCAGCGGGCCCTCAGCTCCCTGGGGGCGGGGCCTGGGGGCGGGGCCTGGCTCGCGGCAGGTGCCTGAGTCTCCTGGTCATAGCTCCCTGAGTCTTGCTCCCATCAGGCTGTCCTGCCCCGAGCAGGGCGCCTCAGAGGCCCCAGCTCTGCCCTGCTCGCTCCCCAGACCCCAGGCTCCGGTCTGTGCTTCCCTCCTGGCCCCTCACGACTGCGCTGTGGGAGCCCCCCTTCTTCACTTTCTGGCTCGCGAGAGGGCGGGCTGAGCCGACCGACGGAGGACAGGAGCCCCTCTGCTCACCGGGTCCTGCCTACCCACCCACCCAGTTTTCAGAAACGCGCTCAGGACCTCGTTTGCCCTCATACAGTTAGCACCTTGGAAACTAGGAATCTGAGCCCACTGTGGACCAGGCAGGACCCGGTTCAGCCCACCTGGAGTTTTGTAACCTCCCCTGTGTGCTGACATCATTTGTTTCTGAGCCTTTCTTTAAAAAATAAATACATAAAAGTCAAATGTTCTGGGAAATGAATCTTAGCCTCTTAAACATTCTTTTTATCAAGGCCTCACCACTAGGACCCTAATCTTATTTTATTTTGCTTCTTAAGCTAAAAAAAAAAATTCCGCTGACATGTTTATTTCCTTTTTCTGTATTTAAGTCAATCAGTCAAAACTATTGGTGGCCCCGCTGTGCTCACAGCCCTGGGCCAGGTCCCCGCCCAGCCGAGCCCATGTGTCCCCCGCAGGGTGCAGGGTGCTCTGGTGCAGAGGAGAGGCCTGTTCCGGGGTCTCCTCTGCGGCTCCCTTCTGCAGACCCAACCAGAGCCCAGCCACACGTTTCTGGCTTCAGCTACCTTCCTGTGGCTTGGATTTTTAAACTCTTACATATTTCTTACAATACCGTGGACCTTATTCTTGTTACCTTTCACTCCAATCCATGCACTTGCTATCTGATAGCCTTGTTCTGTTTCCTGGATTTCTTCATTCACTGCCTTTCTCACAATTTACATTCATTTCTCAGAAGAGTTTTGATGCTGATTGTTTGCTGTGAAACTAGCTCTGGACAAAGTTCACGGTACCAGTTGAAACGGTTGCTTAAAGCCACTTTTCTTCTCTCTAGAGAAGCACAACTTCTGGTCCTAGAATCACACACCTCTTTGGAAAAGACACGAGCTGACGTCGGGCGACCGGGATGTTGCACCGTAAGCCAGCCTGCTGGCGGCAAGGCTCCCGTGCAGCCTCTCGATCGGATCTGAAGTGCTTTACTGCATTGCAGTGTCCAGACATGTCTGTTCTACTTTACCACTTCTTTTCTTCAGGTTTCTCTGGGAAAAGTTCAGACTCTCTAGGTTTTCTGTTCAATAGCTTCTTCCTCAGATTATGAAAATTTGTTTTCCCTCACAAAATGAAAGAAGTCTACAGTGCCATTCAGAAAATTACTTTTATTTTGTAAATCCTATAACGCTTCATAAAGTGTTTCCATGTAGAGAGCACCTTCACGTACATTAATTCATTTTCCCAGCAAAGCTGTGGAATCACCAGCACCCACGGTCAGCTGCTCAGTAGCAGGACAGGACCTAGAACTCAGGTCTGACTCATATCCATTGCTCTTTGCTCTATACCATGTTGGAACCAATGAGCAACGAGCTCTCCATGTGAGCAAAACAAAGATAACCTGCCAAAATGATTTAGAAACAAAGGTTGAGGCAACGTTATCATGTGACATAGTTGGGTCCCAGTGGATTGATTTATGAATTAATAAAGTGGAATTGAATCGCAGAAGAGGCCACAGTTACCTGGTCCACGAGAGACCAGGTCATGTCTCCACATGATACATTTACACAGGGAAGTGTCTTTCCTCAAGGACTGTGGATCTGAAATCATCTTGAGGCTTGTAGACTTGAATTGGTTGTGTCTGAGATCCACTAAACAGGTCTAGACATGCCAGCGAGTGGCATCTCGGTTAGAAGGGGCAGCAGGTAGAGATGGTGTCTGTCTAGGAGGGACCTGCTGGAAGAACCAAGACAAAGTTGCAGAAAATAAGCCAGAGGCAGGGCAGAAGCTGCCCGGGAGAAGCAATGGGGCAGGTGGCCCAAGAACTGAGCAGACAGGAAGGAGGGACATTGGGCCAGGTTGGGATGGACTGTCCGGGAGCAGTGTCCTGCGGTCCTGGGGACCTGCCAGGCGGAGTGAGAGATGCTGCTGTCTACACTGCGCAGGTCGGCACCAAGTCACACGGTCTCACAAACACAACTCTGGACCAATGACAGCTGTTCCGTCTAACACCAAATCATCAGACATATCTTAACATACTTCTAAGACCAAAGAATCAGTCTCCTCTTGTCGAGAATTGTTTTGCCCCCAAACAAAACAAAAACAAACAAAACAAGACAAAACAAAAGCTCTCAAGTCCATGGAAAAGAATTAACTTTTTCAAAAGAAAACTTTGTGTAGGAAAGGAAACAATGGGGCAGTTGAAAAGTAGTTATAACAACCATTATAAAAAGGCAATGAGTAAATATTTTAACAGACGATGGTTAAGTATAGTGGTGAATACATCTCTGACTTCCTTAGCTAGAATAAACCCAGTTGGGTTGTTGAATCAGTAACCCCGCCCCCCCTCTGGTTTCTATAAGTTTAAAACTCAAAGCTAAGAAAGCAGAGAACCATCATGCCCTCTGGAAGTAAAAGACAACTTCGTGTTTTGGAAAATAGCCTAACCTGCGCCGCTTAGGTAGTGAGGGCTTCTACCCCAGCCATATGCCTCTCGCTCCGATCCTGGCACTTGACAACTGCCAAGATCTGGAAAGAAAACTTGCAAAATTACTTCTGAAGCTTATATTCATGTATTTTTCAAAAAGAGGTAAGCGACAAACCATGACTGGATCTTCTCTAGCGATGTCACCTTTGTCTTATTCCCATGTCTTAGGAGACGCCTATTTTTAACGTGTTTGTTGCCTGGACCCTGTTCAGCAAAACGCCGCTGTAGAATTGTGCACATTTCACAGAATACGCGTGAGACAAACAATTTTCTAGGAAACCCGTGGGATTTAATTGGGTAGATCATCATCCTTCCTGCTCAGCCCACTTCGGAAGTTGGGCCTAATCAGAATTATTTATCGTTCAGGTATTTTTCCTGAAATGTTGGCGGGCGTCACCCACCTTCCTAGCTGCCATTTCCGTCAGGGCCAGTGTGAGTTCTCCTGTCCTCAGTTTACCGGGTCTTAAAATACAGAGTTTCTCAGAATTTCAGTGTTTTGTCTCGGGTCAGATGTAGAGTCATTAAAAGAGAAAAGTATCTTTTTGTGTGCGTGGCCTTTGGAGAAAATATAAATTGTTGAAATTACCTCTTCCAAGGCCGCACAGCTTCCAGCTAAAGGAGATAGGGGTGAATTTACTATCAACACCTTCCTTTACCCAAAACTTCGCCACAATGAGGTCTTGGGATAACTTACCCAACAGCCTCAATTTCTAACCCATTTCTCGATTTTCTTGGGTACATCAGAGCTGAAGATTCTAAAAATTTCAATACACACACTTAGGGCTGTATGTGTATTGGGTCAAGTAGGTATGTATAACTTGACCAGGGAAAGCTCTCCTGCCTGAGACAGGTTACCAACCCCTGGAAACGACTAGCCCTCCAGGGAAGAGAGGATATTTCCGTTCCCTAAGAAGGCATGTGCTGTCCCATTTACAATAAAAGAGACCCCAGAATTTCTTTGAATAGCAACAACAGCTGTTATTTAAGGCACACCAAAGGAGATAGACTTGGTTTTTTTTTTTACTGTGACAGAGGTTTGAGTCGGCCATGGGGGATTCTGGGGGCTTTCAAACCTTTTTCCCCTTTGCATTTTATGTCACGCTAGGCATGCTTCACCATGAACTATTTCACATGCTAACAGAAGACAGAGATGGTCTTGTAGGGCAGACCCCTGCTGATTGCCCGTCTTCTTCCTGGCCAGGTTGGACATGGGTGACCATGCATACACAATGTTTTCCATAGAAAGACACACACCAGCACTGACTACACAGCCCGTTGGATGGCATCAGGTGCTAACAGACGATGCAGCTGTTTGGCA